AGCTCCACCACCCCTGTCCTCCCAGTTTGTGCCCCAGGAGCCGGGCACCAGCCTGAGCCCCCCAGTTACGAGTGGCCACGGGGGGCTCGGAGGCGAGGACGCGTCTGTGGGACGGGGACAGGTGGAAGGGTCCCGCTGGGGATGGTCCCCGTGCACACCAGCAGGCTGCTGGATGGTCCCCGTGCACAGGCTGGGGCTGGCCTTGGGCAGGAAGAGGTTAATCCTAGCCACAGCCCGGTGAAGTTTGGTCAGGTCACGGCTTTTCCAAAGGCTTAAAATTTCGGACGTGCAGCAGCTGGTGTCCGGGCCACGGCTGACCCGCGCCGTCCGGCTGGAGTTAATCATTGCCGTTGGCTCTGGGACTTGTCTGAGCTCAGCAACACGGACCTTTTCCCCAAAAACACGTGGTGAGGAGCCGGGGGCCTGGAGGAAACCCCAAGCTGCCAGGGTGCAGGGGGCTGGGGAGAGCTGAGCAGCCTGGCCCTGACTCTAACCCTAACCCTGACCCTAACCTGAACCCTAACCCTAAATCCTGACCCTAACCCTGCCACTGGACCACGCTTTCCCCCTGCACGAGCTGCAAAATAAACACAGGGGCTCGCTTCCCTGCACTGCGTTGATTTGGGGGGACATCTAAGGGGCACCGAAGTCAGGAATAAATAATGATATCCATAAATAAAAAGATGGGAAGCAGAGAGGAAGGCGCCCCGGGTCTCGCTGAGGGGTTGCATCAGCAGCGGGGTGTGTGTGTGAGCGTGGCCGCACTCACTGCTGGTGTGCCTGGTGCTGGAGAGGGCTTTTTTCAGAAAAAAAAATAGGGTCTTTCTCCTCTTGGGTGTGCTTTGAAAAGGGGCTTGGGAACAATGAGTATTAACAGGCAGATAGAGACCGAAATGCAGGGCTCGAGTCCTGCAATGTGTGCGCCTTTCAGAGGGAGCGAGCGTGCCAAGACAAACCCCGCTAGGAATAAACATCGTCCTACATGAAAGGCTAATTACAGATTGGCTCCGCGTGCGGGAGGAGGGCATTTTCGGCCCATTAAAATGGAGCCGGTCTGCTTTTCATAAAAGTGCTGGGCAGAAGGGGCCGGAGAGGCCCTGGGGGGGGAGGTTTTGCTGGCAGCGGGGTCCCGCAGGGTCTCAGGCATCCCTCTCCCCTCGTCGGGACAGGATTGTCACCAGTGTAGCTCCTACGGGTTTTGGTGACTTCAGTGTGTGGTAGGTGAATCATCTCGCAAAAATGGTAAGCCAGGAGGAGACGCGGAGCAGAAAATCCTTCCCAGCCTGCCGAGAGGAGCGCCCGGCGGTTCCCATCTGCGCAGCACATGCTGGTTGTTGGGTTTGGGTGGGTTTCACAAGGATCCGCGTGCCGGGGGGAGCGCGGGGTCCTGCTGCTGCTGCAGCTGGGGAGGAGGCAGCGAGGCTCAGCCCTGTGCCTTGCACCAGCCTGAGACAGCTTCATGGCTCGGGGCCGGCACGAGGCACGGCTCCTAGAAGCGAGGTGCACTTTGAGGAGATACCCCCGGTGCAAAACCCTCTGCGCCCTCTTCTTGCCAAGCCACAGCTCTGCCTCCATCCCCACTTAACACGGCCACAATGCTGGGACTTTTGTTCGCACGGGCTGCTCTCTGTCACTCTGCGGTCGCAGGAGATCGAAGCAGCCACCGGGGCAAGGACAGGGGGTGGCAGGGACCTCGCTAAAACGTCCCCTGCATGCGGCACGGCACGCACGAGGCATTGCTGTGGGGCCAAGCAATTCCCTGCATCCCGAGTTACAGCTTGTGTGCGGGTTGCGCACGGAAGGAGGGAGGGGGAGAAGCCAGGAAAAAAAAAAAAAAAAGGAAAAAAAAGAAAAACCACGATAAAGGAGGACTTTGTTCTGGAGCTTTTGGTACGGTACCAAGCGGGGCTTGCCATACCGTTAATGAGTTTATCTGGCTTTATCTGCACGTGGGGCCAGCAGTGCGCTACCGCCTCGTGCCGAGGAGCCCAGCAGCTCGTCAGCTTTGCTTTGCTGCCCCTCAGCGCAGCATCGCTCCTTTCCTCCCAGTGGTGGTGGCCTCCTCAGCCCTCGCTTCGTGTCTGCCTTTATCCAAACCCTCCCGGCTGGACGCTGGGAGCGTGTCAGGCTCGGCTTTGAGGATGCGAGGATGACGCAGATCGGGCTGCGGGATCAAACAGCTGCAGATGCTCGGGGCAGCACTTGTCAGCTGTGCAGCGAGGGCTTGCAGCTCCCAGGCCACCCAAAACGCGAGCCAGGTGGGGCCGTGAAGGCCTTTCAGGACTCGTGGTGAGCTTTGCCATGCCAGCAGGGCTCCACTTGCCTTGCTGTGCCCAGCGAGCACCTCCGCCCAGCACGACCAGAGAAATTACTGATTGGAGACATGGAGCAGGTGGGGAGAGGTAGCAGAATCACCTTTGTAGCCCCATCTGTCCTGCAAGAAACACCAAGCACGTGGGAAAGGCAACCCTCTGCAGCATGTCCCCATGCCCATGCCCATGCCCGACCTCATCCCCAACCCCCCATCCCATCCCATCCCATCCCATCCCATCCCATCCCATCCCATCCCATCCCATCCCATCCCATCCCATCCCATCCCATCCCATTGCTACCCCATCCCCATCTCCATCCCATGCCCATCTCCATCCCCATCCCATCCCCATCCCCATCCTGTGCCATCCCATGCCATGCCCATCCCCACCCCTATTCCCATCCCCATCCCCATCCCCGGCCGAGCGGGAGAAGCCGCGGGAAGCGAGGGAAGACACTTCCTCCAGCGCCGGATCTGAGGTCACCTCCTGGCCCTTGATCCCCCCAGCCTGCGGTATGTGGGTCAGCGGGGAAGCACGGCCGCCAGCGACGTCCCTTCCTCTCGTTTCCCTGGAGAGGCGTTTTTAAAGGAACAAATAGACTCGGCCGAAAGTGCCGCGCGGCACCGTTGTTAATGGTGTTTTTGTGAAGGCTGGAACAATGAGCTCAGCACCGGGGGGGGATTCGGGAGCCACGTCTCGGGTCCTTGCCTTCGTCTCGCTGCCATGACCGCCTCTGCTCCAGCAAAGGGAGGTGGCAAGGCCTGGGCACTGGGCCACCAGCCCCACGGAGGGCTCTTCGTGTGTCCCAACCATCCCCAGAGCCCCTTCAGCTGGTGGCAGGCAGCGGCCGTGCCACGGCCCCTCCAGCCTCCGCCAAGCCTTGATCGGGCTCGTGTTCACATCCCGGGGATCCCAGCCCCATCCCGAGCTGGACCCGCTCCGTAATTTCTTTCAGGATCTGCTGTAGCCGTAGAGTTCCTCCAGATCAGGGCCAAAAAGGGGTTGGTGCCACCAAGAAGCCCTGGTCTGGTAGCACGGGGGGGAGCCCCACTGAGCCCCGCTGCCCGTGCCGAGGTGCCGAGGCCACGGCCTCGCCGCGGGCTGGCTGTGCCGGGGAGGCTGCAGCCTCCTCTGGAAGCCGGGCTATTGTTCTGGCTAATTTTAACTCGCTGTTATTACCAAAACCTATTTTTATTCATTGCTTGTGGTAAGCCCTTTCTCTAAAGGTAGAGCAATTTGCCATGGGGATCTGTTTTGTTTACCGGGTTTAATTGAGTGCTATCTCCTTTCACGAACACAAATCCGCGGAGGCTGTTCCGCGCCCGGTGCTGAGCCTCGTGCCCGGGCTCGCTTTGATCTCCGCAGGTGAGTGCGCGTGTTTTGGGCCAGAGATTGATCCTGCTTATTTGCATGTAAATCTCGGGGGTTATTAAGATCTGAATCTGGCCCCTTTAAATTTTAATACTCGCTTTATGCTTTTATTTCCGTGTTTCTTAAAGCAATTTCCAAAAATAACAAACTTCAAACATGACGGGGCCATCTCGCGTTTTACTGCCTTGGCTGCAGCCGAAGGAACATTTCGGGAAGCGCATTATCCACGTTAACGAGCCCTTCCCATCTTGGCCGCCCTCCCGCCCCTCTCCCCCGCTGCAGCAGGGCTCCTGCCCGGCCTCAGCTTTTCTTTTTTTGTGTGTGTTTTGAGTAAATTGGGTCCTGGAGAGCCCTGCAATTAGTTCGGAAGGGTCGGCTCTTCCCAGGCTGGAGAGGGCTTCTCTGTGTGGTCCCCTTGAAAGGCTGAGCTTGGGGGGCCTCTTGTGCGGGGAGGGCTTCTTTTAATAGGGACCCGGCCATTTTCCAGAGATCTCATGGCTGTTGTTGTGTGCTGAGAGGGTTTGCAGAGCTCTCGGTGGAGGTGCAAGGAAAATAAAAGGCGTAAAGCAGCCGGGAACACGTCGCGGGTGCGGGATGTTCCCCGTGCTCCTCCTCGGCGCAGGCAGGCTGAGATTTTTTCCTCACCACATTGCTTTTCTTGAAAGCCTGCCTTTCCTCCCGAAAACACTCACAGAAACCATTAAAGAGAGAAGGTGGAGGGCAGGGCTGAAATCATCTGTGAATAATAAAATCTCCTTAAAGCAGACAGACGGAGATTTTCCCCGGAGGTGGGCAGGGATCTCCTGGAAGGGATCTCCTGGGTCCGACCGGGGGAGGGAGGGGCCGTAACCTGGCACGACCCACGCACCTCCAGCAGCTTTTGGAAGACGTGGGCCCCCTGTGCCAGCCTGCTCTGCCCTCCTCCTTCCTCCAGCCTCCGCCACGTCTCTGCTTTTCATTTCTTGTTGACACCCGGTTCCCATAACGCCAGCATCACCAGCTGCTCGTTTGCTCTGTATATAAAACCGCCCTTTAATTGACATGCCTTGCCTGCTGTGTTTGGGTACATCTTGTTGCTGGTGGGACAGGGAGGGGTGGGAAAACCCCGCTAAGGAGGTGGGAGACCTCCCGGCATGCTCGGGGGGAGGTTGGGAAATGCTAAGGAGCAGTGCCGGGTAGCCGCGGCGCCTGGCCGTGACCCAGGACCCCAAATCCGAATGGCCCAAAGCTGGGCACCGATGGGCTCCGTGCCCTGTTTTTTTTTTCCTCCTCCTCCTCGTTCAATGCACAGCCCTCACCTTTCTTCTCTCTCCCTAGCATGGGTCGGCTCCTTGGCCATGGGCATGATTTTCTTCTGCTCTCCCATCGTGAGCATCTTCACCGACCGGATCGGCTGCAGGACCACGGCTGCCTTGGGAGCTGCCATCGCCTTCATCGGGCTCCTCTCCAGCTCCTTCACCAAGTAAGGCAGCCCCTTCCCAGCTCCTTTTCCTCACCAGCCCCCCTAGCTGCTGCCATTTGGGGCAGATTTTGTGGTTTCAAGCTCTCCTGGCATGAGACAGAATGAGCTTTACCCGAATGAGGGGCTCGCCATGAATGTCCCCAGGCAGGCACTCGCCGATGTGCGTTTTGATGGCAGGTCTACCTGATGCGATGTGATGTGATAGTCTTTCCGACCCGACACATTTGCATCTTCAGGAGAGCAAAACGAGGTCACCCCCAGTGTCCTTTACACGTGGCTTTTTACACGGAGCCTCAAAGGCACCGTGAGGCATCCCCCAGAGCATCGTTCGCCCCAGCTTGTCCGAATAAAAATGTTTCCGTGGGTTTGAATTCAGCTCCGATCAATGTTGTTTTAATTAAAATGCTCCAAGAAGTGGTTTTCAAAGCAAAAACAGGCTAGTTTCACAGAGGGCGTGCCGCCCGCTCTCTGCTCCCACCCTGGGACGCCGGCTCCTTTGTGCCCTGCTTGGTGCCCTTGCTCCGGGCACGGGGGATGCCTGGGGTCCCTGCCACCCTGGGAAGGGGCAGGACAGCGGGGACACATCCCTGTAAATCTGGGGACTCTCTGGGGCATGGGGCTGGGTGTTGTGGGTACATCTGCTGTTGGGCTGAGGATGAAGGGCCAGCTTGAGCCACCCCAGAGCCGCTGCGCCTCGGGAGGGAAGAAATCTTGCTGGGTTCACCTTTCTTGGTGAGTGCCAGCGAGGGGCAGCTGCTGGAGGGAGGTCTCCTCCTCCCAGCAGAGCTCATTACCCAGGGGGGACCTCATTACCCGTGGGGACCTTGTTATCCATGGGAGACATAGTCCTAGAAGACATCATTACCCATAGGAGACCTCCTCTTCCAAGGCAACCTCATTATCCATGGGAGACCTTATCCCTGGAGACCTGGTTAGCCATGGGAGAACTCTTCCAAGGAGACCTCGTTATCCATGGGAGACCTCTTTGTCCGAGGGTGATGGTGCTGCCATTCCCACCAGAGAGCAGCTGGGACATCCAGGGCCATTCCCAGCAAGCAGGGTGGGACGTCCAGGATGAGAAGCGAGGATGGAAGGAGCCTGGCTTTGGCACAGCCATGCAGGGGTGTCTCAGCATCAACGGCGAGCAGATGGGACCGGCGGCATTTGTCTCCACTTATCCAACACATCAGCTTAGCTGCAGCACCAAAGCTGGTGTGACCCAGCTGAGGTGGCCAGGGCTGGTGCGTGGGAGGTCGGAGGCAGCCCAGCTGCCTGCCTGGCTCCGGGGATGGGTTTTCTGATGTGGCTTTGCCCTGGAGTAGCTGGAAATTGCCTTTCATGACAGCCGTTTGTCTTTGAGCCGCTGGGTACAGCTTTCATGTTCCCTGTTCTGCTTGGCCAGCTATGGAGACGAGCTTGTCATGGAAGAAATGATGTGCTTGTAAACATTTGCTCAATTTTGAACTGCTCTGTTAGATCCGGGCTGCTGTCTTTTCCCTTGCTCCAGGAGCAGCACGCTGTATTTCTCATGAGCAGCCCTGGGTGTCAGAGTGAAGACCCCCTTCACACAGCATCACTTGCCCAAACCTCTCCCTCACACCCTCCTCCCATGGCAGACTTTTGCAGCCGAATGTATTGCACAGGGATGAGAGCAAATCCTCCATCTGGCCAGAAACTGATGGGAACTCAGGGGTGCAGCCACTGCCTGACTTTGGGCTCCTTTCTTTGCTGCTTCTCTTGGGAAAACCAGGCTGGCCCCCGGGAAGCGGCTGCTTCCAAAGGCTCTCAGACTTTCCACCTGCTCTGCAGAGCAGCTACGTCGCTCCCTGCTCAAGCACAGCCACCTCCGTAAGGTACAAATGAGATCTATTAACTGCCTAATTGAAGCTCCCAGAGGAGCTTAAAGAAGAAGAACATAATTAAGGAGCCTGGAGCCTGGGCAGAAACGTGATGTTCCCTCCCTAAGTGCCTAATAACCAGGGTTGGTGCCTTCTGCTTTGAAACACTGGGTGCAGAATGTTTTCAATTAGTTGTTTCAGTGGAAAAAAAAAAAAAAAGGATTTGTAGCTAAAAATAACCCCCTGCCTACCTTAGAAAATCTTGCTCGCAGTACTTTAAAAAAAAACATTCAAGTCAGGTCAGCTTCCCGAGGCAGGCAGGCTGGCTGCTGCCTTCTCCTCTGTGCAGAAAGCACTCCCCAGCCAGACTTCATTTTCCCGGAGGTTTTAATGTGCCAGCTGTGCAACGAGGATAATCCTCGCTTTGGCTGGGGAATAAGCTCCTAAAGGCCAGCCTGTCCGTGCAGCACCGGTGGCATGCGAGCCCTCGGTCTTGACTCAAGGGCTTGCAGGGGGTGGCACGGCTTCCTTCCATCCCTGTGCCGTGCCCACCTTGATGTCTTCTTCCCACCAGGTCTCTGGAGGTCCGTTACTTCACCTATGGCATCCTCTTCGGCTGCGGCAGCTCCTTCGCCTTCCAGCCCTCGCTGGTCATCCTCGGCCACTACTTCAAGCGCCGCCTTGGCTTGGCCAACGGCATCGTGGCCGGCAGCAGCTGCCTCATCTCCGTGCCGCTGCCCTTCTTCCTGAAGATGGTGGGGAAGGCCATCGGGCTGGCGCACACTTTCCAAGTCCTCAGTGCCTTAATGCTCATCCAGATATTCCTGTCCATGACGTACCGGCCCATCCTGCCGCCTTCTTGTGACTCTCAGCACGATGGGCAGGAGAAGCCGGGCAGCCGGAGCCTGCGGCAGCAGTGCTGGTCCCAGATGCGCAAGTACTTCAACTTGAGGGTTTTCCGGAGAAAGACCTATCGGATTTGGGCCTTTGGGATCGCTACGGCTGTCTTGGGGTATTTTGTGCCCTACATGCACCTGGTAAGAGCCTTGGCTTTTTAGAATGGGTGAGGAGGTGGTGGGAAGGTGGAGATGGGCAGGAGCAGGGACAGAGCCACCAAAGGCCTCGCAACCAAGAAATTGCTGCAGGCAAAGTCCTGCCCATTGCTGAGATGAATTAATGGAGGATTCACATCTTTATGTCCTTCTGTCCATCCCAGGTCAAATACGTGGAGAAGGAATTTAAAGAAACCAAAAAGGACTGGATTCTCCCCGTTTGCCTTGGAGCCATGTCCGGGCTGGGGCGCTTGGTTTCAGGCCGCATTGGTGACTGCATTCCGGGGCTGAAGAAGATTTACCTGCAGGTACGTTGTGGCTGCTGCAGCTGGGGGTAACATCGGCACATCATCATTAACACCACTAGGAACCATCATTTACAGACCATTAGCTAACACCCTTGCAGCTCATAGCACAAGAAGTGCAAAATCTGGGTCTGGCCGTCTTGGATGGGAGCCCAGAGGACTGGAAGACTTCTGAAGTAGCCTTCAGAAGCCACCCTGGCATGGGGCAGGGAGATGGTCCCAGTGCTGGCACTGGGCAAAGACACTTGTCTGCCCTTGGGTGGCCTCATCTTCAATGCCATGGGCTTGTCGCTCCTTCTAGTGAAGCATTTGGTGGATCCTCTCTCCCTGGGTCTTGTAGAGTGATCAGATGGCTCTGGTGTCACTGCTCCTGTTCAAGACTGCAGAGCTGAGGATCTCAGAAACACAAGGGTTAGGACTTACTGAAAGGGTTGTTAGGCACTGGAACAGGCTGCCCAGGGAGGCGGTGGAGTCACCATCCCTGGAAGTCTTCAAAAGACGTTTAGATGTAGAGCTTAGGGATATGGTTTAGTGGGGACTGTTAGCGTTAGGTCAGAGGTTGGACTCGATGATCTTGAGGTCTCTTCCAACCTAGAAATTCTGTGATTCTGTGATTCTGTGACTTGCCCCATCTGAAGTCTTTGTGCTACATGCTCGGGAGCCTTCCTTCCTCCTGACCGAGGAGACAGTCTGCAGTGACGGTCGGGATGGTGCAGAGTGGCTTCGTGCCCACCTACCCCACTCATCCTGTCCCCCAACGCCGTGCCCATTTTGTCTCCCCAGGTGGCATCCTTCGTGCTGTTCGGCATCATGTGCATGATGGTCCCGCAGTGCAGAGGGTTCGAGGCCGTCATCGTCATCTGCCTCTTCCTCGGCCTCTGCGACGGCTTCTTCACCACCATCATGGCCCCCATCGCCTTTGAGCTGGTGGGGCCCATGCAGGCGTCGCAGGCCATCGGGTACCTGATGGGGCTGATGGCCGTGCCCATGACCGCGGGCACGCCGATAGCAGGTCGGTATCACCGCCGGGCCCAGCTGTCAGGAGGGAGCAGATGTTTGTGGCTGTTTTTGCCCCTGGAGATGTTTTGGTGTAAGAGCTTTTGAACTTACAGCCTGCAGTATCTCAGCGCCTTTCCCCGTGCTGATGAAAGCAGGGGTCAGCAAGAGCAGAGCGACCACATTAACTGATTGCTGTCGGAAGCCGAGATAAAAATTGGCCAGAAATGACTCATGGCCAGGAGAGCAGGGAAAAGAATTTAGGGAATTTCTTAAGCAATGGAAAAAGTCTATTGTGGGCTGCGCAGGGCATCCTGCATCCCGCATCCTGCAGCGGAAGGATTTTTTCCAGTGCCAATAAATAGCAATGTGTTATTCTCCGAGGGTGCCTGCTCAGCTTGCATCCAGGACTGTTTGCATGCGTCTGACTTTGTCCTGTCCTGCCAAAATAAGACGGATAACGGCCGTTATGCTTCTCCCCCAGGATACTTCAATGATTATTTCGGGAATTACCACGCGGCCTTTTACTTCGCCGGAGTGCCCCCCATCGTCGGCGGCTTGGTGCTCTCCGTCGTCCCGCTGGTCCACCAGAGGATGCTGCAGAAGCAGCGCCTGGATTCCGGCAAGGACAAGATGCTGGCCCCCGAGGCGGTGGTGAACGGCGAGCTGCTGCCGGGCTGCCCTGCCTCCGAAGCACACATCTGACGCGCCGGCACGCGCGATCGCCACCAGCATCCTCCACAAGCCCAAGCACAGGCCCTTTTCTAGCCAGACTGTAATTCTCAGTGATTGCAGATGCACTACGTTTGTAAAGGAAAAAGAAAAAGCTCTTCTAGTTGAAGGCGTTTAACTAGCAGAAACGCTTTTTCTTGGGACAGTTTTGATTTCAAAGTCGCCTTTATTTTTTTTTTTTCCTCTAACCATTTTTTCTAAGGAAAACTCTCACCAGGATTCAAACTTGATCGACCTCCCGCTCCTTTCCCAGTTTTCTATACGTCACAACAGAGGTTTACAGCTAATAAACGTCTTTTTAAACAGGCCACAGCCGGAGCTTGTTGCCCCTTCCAGAGACCCATCCCCTCCCCTCCCCCTTTGGTGCGCCAGGTCCAGAGGCTGTGCCAGAGCCAGCAGCTCCAGAGGAGGGACACAAAACCAGACTAATGGCCAGCGAGCCCCGCTTTCAGCTTTTTCTCTCCTCCTTTTCCACCGCCCTCCCCGAGAGCTGTGGCTGTGTGCGCTCACGGGGACAGGAGCATCCTGCAAAATCTGCCTTAAAATCACAGGAGGAGACCCGTCGGTGCCTTGGGCACCTCTCGCCTCCACTCCTGTATCTGGTGCCTGAGGTCTGGGCCATCCGGGCAGTCCAAGCAGCAAAACCCTCGGGCTAGATGGAGAGATGGAGGCACGCAGGGCCAGGATTAACTCGGGTGAGAGCAAGGACCGAAGGCAGCTTCCATCCCGGCTGTGTCAGATTTTCCTCCCCATCACCCACCGTTAGAAACGAGAGCCTTGTACATAGCTCCGCACCCCGCATGCCCCTCTGACCCTTCTGTTTTTTTAATCTGTGCTGGCTAACGCATTGTAAGGTCTCGTGGTCTGTGCTTCTCTTACTTCTGTCCCTGTATGAGCTGGAGAATATACTGGTGTGTTGTGAGGTGTCTGTTCAACCTGCCCTTCCTTCAGCACGCATTCCCAGGACGTCTCCTACCTGTTCTTTCCCACAGGGCATCCCTGCCACATCTCTGCTGCCCTGCCCATATTTTAGGAAGCCCACATACGTGTGCCAGCAGGATCCAAGGTGCCCGTGGCACCCAGCAGCCTTGGGACCCTGGGTCCCCCGATGCTCCTCTGCAGGCAGCTGGAGGAAGGCAGCCACTGCCTTGTGGCTCCTTGTGCAAGCCTGGGGGTCTGCAGTCACAGCTGAAGCCGATGAAGCTCTTCAAATAGTATTTTTGACCTTAGTGCCCTATGAGGACGGCTTATGGGGGGGGTTAAATGAAAGAAATATCTTCTGCAGCCCAGCCATAGGAGAAGCGCTGCCCCAAACCCAGCCCATGCCCATGCTGCTAGGCAGAGCCCCCGGTGACTGCACCCACTGGGTGAATGGTTTCACAGCCAACTCTGTGGCTGTAAAACCTCTCGAGCTCATAAAGCGATTTAACAGCTTAAATCCCCACATTTTGCTGATTTCCACCTGCCCTAAACCCTCAGCCTGCCCACAAAGGTCTCTGCCCTGGGAGGAGCCTGCGCTCGGGGCCGTGGGGGCTTGGTGCTGCACCGCTGGATCAGCCAGAAGCCAGGAGGGGCAGAGGTGCCTACAGAGCCCTGACACCCCCAAAATTTCCACGTTTTTTGTTAGTTAGTTCGTTTGTTTTCCCCCGGAGGAGCCTCTTATCACTGAGGGCACTTAGAGGTGCGTTCATGGGCTGCCCAGGTTTGGTGGAAGGAGTACAGCCCACATCACAGACCAAAGCCCCTTAATAGCCTCCCAAAACTGCTGGCATCGTTGTTGTCTGGTCAAGGTCATGCTCTTGGTCAACACAAGCCCTTGGCCAACAGCACGCCAGCCTCTGCCACAGGAAAGGCGATGCAAGGCTCACCCCATGCTCTGCCCGCGTGCGCGGCTGGAAGGGCGAAGGTTGGAGCGGTCACTGGGAGGTGGGCACAGGAGGCCAAGCAGGAAGGCAGGGTTGCATAGCAAAAAAAAAAAAAAAAAAAAAAAAAGACCTTGTACTCATTTTTTCTAATGAAAAAACCCAAGTTTCTCCTGCCGACAGAGGCGGCGGCACGCTTGGCGCTGCGGGCGACCGCGCACCTTATGTAAGTGCACATCAAGCGCGGGACGTGCCCCGGCAGCACGGCGCAGGGGCTGGCTGGGGCTGCCTTCCTAAATCTTTAGCTTCGGGGTGTTCGAAAGAGTTGTTGTCTTTTAAAGACTTGTTGTCTTTTTTTTTCTTTTTTCTTTTTTTTTTTTTTTTTTTTTACGGCCGGGTGAGACGCTGGGTTTAACTCCTCTTGCTCCAGCTGGGACGGATGCTCCCATGGCATCTCAGGTGGCTTCCAGCCTGGCTCTGGGTGGTCACACAGAAGCCACAAGTGCAAAGCAGAGCTGGGAGGACAGATCCAGCACCACCATCCCTCCATTTCTCGCTTCTGCTGCCCCAGCTTTCATGCACATCCATGCCCAGCATCTTTGTCCAGGGGTTACCTCAGTTATTTCGGCTTTGGTAATTCTCACACTGGCACCATTCACTTCTTGTCAGCTGGCTGTTGGAAATGAGGAACATGCCAGAAAGCCCCAGCTCACTTGCCAGCCCCCTGCCCCTTTTGGGCAGCTCTCTGGGGCATTTTCTTTTCAATCCCAGCCGCCCTTCGCCCCCCAGGAGCACCATGTGCCCAACGGGGCCCTCAGCGCCCAGCCAGCTCCCTCCCGCAGAGGCACTGCCCGCGGGTTTGCTGGCCGGGAAGCACAGTGGACTTTGCTCCTGGCCACACCAGGGTTATCGCTGTGCTTTCGCATTCTCCCCCTGCACTTTTGTGGTTTATTACTGCCTTTTTTTTTTTTTTTTTCTCCCCTGCAAATGTTGCAATGCCCTTACTGCTTCAAGGACTCGCTGGGCTTCAGGTGCCCCCATGCCCATCCTCACCCTCCCCAGGAGAGCAAAACCCATCCCTGCTGCCACAGCCACCTTCACCAGGGGCACATTTTGGCAAAAGTGACCCGCAGGACACGGCCTTGGTGTCTGACCTGACGGTGATGTGGCCCTGCGGCTCCCAGCTTTGCCTGCAGCACCCGAATCAGTGCTTGGAAAACAAGCTCACCTCTGAACCCAGTGTTTGAAGAAGATTTGTGCAGCTGGTTATGTCCTGCCTGCAGCACCCAGGCCTCCTCACGGGAGGCCGTGCCTCTCCTGAGTGCCTCCTCTTTCCCAAACATCCTTCCCAAAATCTCCTCCTCACTGCACCTTCCAGCTCTGGCTGCCAAGAGGAGCGCGGCTCTTAGGCGCATCGTTAGCAGCTAGGCTTAGAGTCCATTTTAGTAAGGAACGAAGCTTTTTTTCTTGTTCTTTTTTCTTTTCTTTTTTTTTTTTTTTTGTACATTTTTAGTCACGGTGTGTGAGATGATCTGTTTACCAGAGCACATTTCTGGGTGGCGTCGGTAGGATGACGTTTGGGATTTCCAGCGCGCCGCGCGGGTGGCGCTGGGTTTTTGGCATCCACGTTTCCGAACAGGACACGACTCTTCTCCAGACCTGGGCTTTCCCAGCCTTTCACCCATCACGGCAGGAGAGATGACTTCTGGGGGCAAGTAACCCTCCTAATTCCCTGAAATCCAGCGGCATGAAAACCAAACGGAGCCAAATATTTGCTTTCGGATGGGTGGATGTCTGAGCTGACTCCACGTGAGAGCGCTGGGGTGGAGGCTTGAATTTCCATTTAGTTAATGAACCAGAGGGGGCTGCGGCTGAAAGCAGGCACTTAATTCAGTGCAGAAATCAGGCCTGGAGCCGTTGGTGGTTAGGGCCCCATTTTGGGTTTAAAAATGAGTATTTAAAGTCGCTGCTGGAAAGGGTGGAGAAGCCACACCTTGCAGAACTGGCCTCGTAGGAGCTTGTAAGATGTAGGTGAAGAAACTGGTAGAATTGAATTTTTTTTTTCTTCTTCTTCTTTTGACATCTGCTCCTTGTAAGCGATTTATATTCCCCTAAAAATATTGTATCTGGAAGTAAAGTATTTGAATGTGTGTCTTAACAGTATGGCTGTCCTTTCAAAATGTGAATTTCTGATCGTTGGTATACAAAAACAACATAAAAATGAACCAACAAAAAAAAAAAAAAAAAACCAACATAAAACAAACCCATATTAGCACATTTTTGTAATGACTGTTTATGAATGTTGTTCAAAAAAAAATTGTGTAGAATAAAACCAGTTTAAAAAGGAAGGGGGTTGTGGTTTCCTAAAGAAATGCTTCCCATGAGTGTCAGTGCACCAGGGTTTATTATTATTATTATTATTATTATTATTATTATTATTATTATTATTATTATTATTATTATTATTATTATTATTATTATTATTATATTTCTTCCTTTGGCAGGGGCTCAGGGCACAGTGAGGCCTCCTGGACATTAGCACTGTGCTGGGAGAGCTAAGCTAAGCTGCCAATAGGAGCATTTTTGGGGAGGGTGTGCAAGAAAGGGAGTGAATGGAACCAAAAAATGGCTTTTAGCAAGGATTCTAAAATAAAATTAAAAAAAAAAATACTTACTCTAAAGTAACAAATTGTTTACACTAGCTGCCTTAATTGACATCAGATGAAAGCTGACACACACGTTAATTTGATATGGCTCAGGCTTTCATTTTTCTTTCCATATGCATCTCAACCCTTTTTCAAGTCAGGGATATTTACTGCAAATAATACTCAAAAAACCCCCAGTGGGAGCTGATAAGAGGCAGTAAACAGGGATTCAAAGGCGGCAGCAGCAGCCCTCCTCCGCGTGCCATGCGTGCAGGGACAGGGCAGGCAGCACGCGCACACGTAGAGCTCCATCGGGGAGCTTGTGAGCCTGCCCGCTGGGAAATATTACTTCTAAAATTCAAAGCTGGTGTTTTATTTTATTTTATTTTATTTTATTTTATTTTATTTTATTTTATTTTATTTTATTTTATTTTATTTTATTTTATTTTATTTTATTTTATTTTATTTTATTATTTTATTTTATTTTTATTAAATTTTAAATGAATTATTTTATATGTTAAATACTAAGCATGTCGATGTCTTATATTCGTTTCCTAGGAGCTACAAAATATTTTAGACAAGCATGTGAATGGCATATATACCTGCAGCCCCTTTTGGTATCTGTGCTGTGCAGGACCCAAGATCCACCCCCCTCCATCACCCCAGCACCAAAGGGAGGCACAGGGACCGCAGCGAGTGGCTGGGAGGGTGAGCACAGCGTGAGTTTAGGGCACGCTTTATTTCAGCTTGGGTTTGGGGGATTTCTTTAATGCAGAGTAATGTATTGGAAACCACGTAATATTGGCAGCGGGGAAAAACAAGGGAGGGGAAAAAATCTATGTACACACACATATATACACACACAGAGATCTAAAGCAAGAACAACGCAGGGGAGGGCACTGCAGGACCAGAGTCACGTCGTGTGGAGCAGAAAGGCTGCCTGCTTCGTCATGGCGAGGCTTCGGGGTGTGCTTTTCTCGTGTTTTTGGCAGATCAGCTGCCATAAGCTCCCTGCGGGGTGGGTGCTCGGCGGTGGGCTGGGTGAGCGGGGCTCTGGCTCCTGGCTGCTGCTATTGTTGTGGCTTGCACCTCTTCCTCCGAGGCGCTGCGCCGCGGGGTTGTAAATCTGTTATCGGCCCATCTGCGGCATTGTTCGGCCCTGGCCTACGTGGCCGGCGCCTCATCACCCCCACAGCCTGCCCGCTGTTCCCGCAGCCTTCTCCCACCCTTGTTGATGCTTTCACCAGCCCCGCTTCGAGCGGCCCAAACCCTTTTTCCCATCCCACTGGGAAAGCCTCCCTTCAGGTGTTCAGAGACCCCCCCGTGTTCAGGTGTTCAGGTCCTCCCCGAGCCTCCTCCTCTCCAGGCCGAGCAGTCCCAGCTCTCCCGGCCTCCCCTCCCAGCAGAGGAGCTCCAGGCCCTGCAGCATCTTGTGCTGGGCTCTCTCCGGTTCCTCCATGTCTCTTTGTACTGGGGGGCCCAGAACTGGACCCAGCACCCCAGGTGTGGCCACACCAGTGCTGGGTGGAGGGGAAGGGTCACTTCCCTCGGCCTGCTGGTGATACTTTTCCCAATGCAGCACAGGATACCCTTAGCCCTTGTGCTTCCCGGTGCCTGGGCCTGTTCCCCTCCACCTGCAGGACCCCGCACTTCTTGTTGGACTCTGCGAGGTTCCTGCAGCTGAGCCCTGCTGCAAAGCACCAACACCCCAATGCCACCACAAGGAACATGCTCTGAGCAACCTTTTTTCTCAAAAACCCCAAACCTGACGGCAGCCAAAATGCCAGAAGCCCTCCCCAGACAGCACCGCCCCGTTTGATGAGGCGGTTGCTGTCGGGGACGCTCGACGCCTGCTTTTTCACATGCTCGGCTCAGCAGGGGATTTATTCAGGGAAACAGTTGGAGCATGCAGCATCAGCTTCTCATTAGTGGCAGAGACAATGCCGTCTCCTTTAAGGCAAAGATGTGGGTTTAGTTTTCCCCGTACAACTTTACTGTAAGGGCTTAGGGAGCCACGATGCAGCTGAGCTTAGATTCATGATGTTGAAAGCCCCCAAAGAGGTCCCACCAAGGGACAGGCAGGGAAGATGAGCTGGCAGCGAAGCCTCTGCTTCCCTCCCACCACAACCAGCAGCTCCCATCGAGATCGAGGAGAGGTCTGCGGAGCCCTTCCCAAGCCGCTCCAGAGAGCACACATGCTCCGAGGTTGGGTTGGACTTCTAAAGCAATTTTTGGGGGCAGTCGGCAGTTTTTAAGGAACAACCACAGGGATACACAACCCAAAGGACTTCCCACAGGGCCGAAGCCAGGGAGCTGGTGAGGGGTTCCTGGTATGGAAAGAGTGGGAACTGCTTCATGGGTGAAGACACCAAAACGAAAATTCAGGCCTATGGCAAAGACTTGGGGGAGAAGTGGTGCGCTTCCAGAGCAGGACACCTCAGAGCTCGAGATGAAGCCTCCGGCAGCTGGGAAAAAACTCTTCCCAGAGGTCTCCCTAGGGAGGCTGAAGGCGGAGCAGAATCCTTGCTCAACACGTCCCTGGGGAAGCCCACAAACCTTCCTCCTGGCCACAGCAAGCGAGCAGCACCGTGCTGCCAAGCAGCTGAGGCAGCTACCCGGCAGGAGGAGCAGCCCATGGCACCCACACGCTGGGTGCTGCGTGTTTTCGAGCTGCCCATCGCTGTCCTGCCCCTTCTCCTCCTTCCATGCCATCAGGCCTCTGCTCCGACTTCCTACCCGAGGAGCGGAGACGAGGTGAGGGAAGCGCTGGTAATAAAGCCAGCTCCCCACACCCTACAAAATTTCCTTCCCACTCGAGCAAGCATTTGCACGTACATCAGCTACTAAATTTAGGGCGAAGCTTTTAGCCATATGTGAGAGCTTCTTATGAAAGCCACGAGCACTGCGAAGCGTTTGGGGCATTTCTGGTGGGGCTCAGCCCTGCCAGCGCCCGGTCACAGATGGGTACCCGTAAAAGTCACAGCTCGCACTCAGGAGGTAACTTACTGCTTTATCCCACATTATCCAAGGACAGATTTACACGTCTGGCTCATTGTAAGATTTATTGCCTCTGGTTTATGTACTAAGGAGCAATAAATGCTTCAGGGAACTAAGCTGCACCATTCCGGGTCTTTTCTTTCTGCCTGGCCTCAAGGCAAAAGGCGCACATAAATTCCTGCCACATCCATCGTTACTCCAGCACGTTCCCACCCTAAGAAGAATAAGCCCAAGGAGTGATGATCAAGCACAAAATGGTCACTTCATGCATTTTATTGAGTCTATTTAAATTTGCATTATGACATCTTACATAGGGAACAAACTCCTCCTAAATATTAGCTATCAAATCTGGTCGAACTGTTGTCCGATGACCTCAGAGTACCATTTTGTACTAAACAAGTCCAGTATAAACAGATGTAAAGCACTGTACAAAAAGAAAAAAAAAAGAAAAAAAAAAAAAGGAAACTGTTACATTCTCAGTTGAATTCAGGGCTTCCCAACCGCGAGCCATACTCGCAGAGAGGGAGAGTCAGGAAGGGGTGTTGGGTGTTTTAGCTGAAGGGACCAAAACCACATAAAATAATCAAAACAAACCCAAAAGTATGGTTAAAAGACATCTCAAGAAGAGGTTGGGAAGCCCTGGTATAACAGATGCAAATAGATTTTCTTTTTTAACACAACACAGACTTCATGTACTTTGGGGAAGTTACCATCAGTCCTGTCTCTTCACCTTCCTCCTTCCCTCCCCAGTCAAGGACAAAGAAAGAAAGAAACAAAAAAAAGCCTAGAGTATGCAAAGATCGGAAATATTTCTGAATTTGTTACAGATTCCCTTAACGTGGCTCCGAGCCAACGCTCACCAACACTTGATCGCAGCAAGCAATGAGTCCCTGTGGCATGATGGGGAGAAACCCAAAATATCGGGCACGTACAGATGTACACTTTATGATAACAAAAAGGAGCTCAAGCCAAAGATAAGGCCACGGCTTACGCCAACCAGGTGAGCCTTGCAGCGTGGTGGCCAAGATTGCGTTGGGAGCTTCGGAAAAAGCCACCAAGAGCCACAGCCCCACGGGCAGCCGTGCCACCGCCTCTTCCCTCGCCAAGTCGGGCCCTCCTTATCATGACACGGCGCGGAGCCTCCCCATTGTGTAGGCAACCCTCGCAAGATAAACATCCCCTGCAATTAGACAGGGAAACAGCCCTTTGGACGCGACGTATTTGCATAATCCAGCTAACTGAGAGGAAACGGGGATGACAGTCATTACGGTCCATTGTGTCAACATTAGTGGGAAATCCATTAGTTTGCAAGCTGACACAATGGACAATTATGGCTCCTTCAAAACTGGTACAGTATCGTGTTAGTGCAGCTGCTGTGCATGCACGTTAATACTTCCTACCAAAAGTCTTTAAACTTTTAATGAGTAATTTCTATGCATGCGGTAGCTACGCTAATGAAATCGTTTTTTAAAACGAGTCAATTAACTGCCTACAAGTTCTTTGCAAAAAAAAAAAACACAACCCAACCTCTTGTAAGTGATTAAAAAAAAAAAGTGCATGTAAAAAGGAAAGCTAACAAACCCCAGGAATAAGTCTTCACAGTCTTTTAGTGGATAAAGCCCTAATTTAAAGAAAAAAAAAAAAAAAAAAAAAAAAGTAAGCACCCACAACTCTGTATCAGTTTGCAATTTGAGTTAAACTATCAAACATGCTCTTAATTAAAAAAATACCATTCACTCTTCTAGGTTTTGGCCTCGCAACTGCTTTCGCAGCTGTGTATGGGGGTCCTGCTGTCAGAGAGCTGTCCCGTAGGACAGGAATCCAGCTCACCCACCAGATAAGCACTCCCAACAGCAGCTTGGGTGGTTTGGAAAAAACACCACGCTACCGAGGGAGGCAGGCGGTAAGAGGGAATCCCCTTGAAAAACAAAGCACAAGCCTTCTGAGCAAGAAGAAACCAGGCTGCTCCAAGCGACGGGCTGGAGATCTGTGCCGGCTCTGCAAGGGTAAGAGAGGCTCCCACAAGGTGGCACTACGAGCCAGGCAGCTGCCGCAGCAAGGCTGCCTCTGCCTCTCTACTTCTCTTTTCCGTACAAGCAGGCATTTCAAAATGACAAAAATGGCCATTTTAACCTTCCATGTGGCTATAAGCGTGAGTAAAGGTGCTGCATCCCACCTCTAATACCAAGAAAGAGCAACCCAAGGGCAGCGATGTGTACAAAATCTCAACACCATAATGACTTCAAACTGCAAAACCGGCTAACGGCGAGCCTTTAAAATTAGTGCATTTCACGTTCTGTTAGCAACCAACGTGGAAACACTGACTTTTCCTAACTGCAACACAACTTTAAAAGGACAGAAATGGAATTACCCCATAAAAATGCAGCAGCAATTGGGAATTCCTCTTGCCAGACCCCAGCCCTACACCCACCCGCAGAGGTGCGGGGTTTGTGGATGCGGTGCGATACGAAGGCACCGGTGGCCACCACCGAGCTCTTGGCTGCAGCTCCCAGCAGCCGGGACACTGCTCTTCCCCAGCACTACTGCAGGGGCCACCAGATGACTCAGCTGCACAAGGAGCTCTTCATCATGTCAGCAATTTAATTCCTGCTAACCCTTCCAGACCTTGGGCACCTAGCCCCCAGCACCGTCAGCACACTCAGCGTTGGAAAAGGCGTGTAAAACATTGAGAACACTCAAGGGCTTCTCAACTGAGCTTAAAGTACTTGTTCTTGGTACCATTTGGGAAACCTCCAACATTTTATTAGTTGCTATCATTACAGAAAGATAAAATGTTAAGGCATGCCACTATTAAGCTATAACAAAACTGTAAAGTTGAGCCTACTGAAGTGTCCAGTTACTGGAAACTCAGAACATTAAAAAACAAAGCTATGCTGGCTGACACGCATCACAGCCGTGCCTGGCGTTAAGTAGCACTAATGGGCTCCTTTCTTGCTTGTCACTGTGCTTAGTCTTCAGAGAAGTATGTCAGGTTTTCCAAATCTAAAATGGCATTCATGTGGAGAAGGTTAGTTGCTTTTTTTTCCTTCTGATTCTACGCTCCAGTTAAGTCAATAGAGCTACTGGAAACTGCAACCGATAGCAGGTATTTGCTATGTGAATGCTGCTGGAAGAAATTCAGAAGTGTTATTTTGTTGAAGAAATTTTGGCATCAAATACGTTACCTACATTCATGAGAGTCCAGCACCTGAAGTTAATAGCTAACCTCCAATTTCAGAGTGATGCGTGTCACAGAGGGAAAAAATTAAAAGCATGAGCTTATTTATCCCTCTTAAAAACAAACAAAATCCCCCCAAAACACTTATTCCTTGTGCCATGACAGTGTGTCCCACCAGGAGGAAAGCAAGCTCAATAGCCAGTCAGGGCTTCCCACTAAACCAAACACCACAAAATGCACACGTATAAAAAAAAAATGTGAATTTTGGGACACGGTGGACTCCTTAACTGATGAGACATTAAAAATGGCTTAGAGCAGAGACTGTATTTTATGCAACCACCACTAGAAAACATCAAAAATGTTTTTTAATTAGGCAAAAAAAAAAAAAAAAGGCTAGCTTTGGTTTTATCATCTGAGGAGCACGCAACATTTCCCTTACAGCCAGCAAGAGCAGTTCATATCCCATTGCAACTACCACTCTGGAGGTGAAAGAAACACTGCTTTCCCTGTTGCAGACATAAACTAGGGGAAAAATAAGAACAACACTAGAGAATACAACAAAGACAGCTCATTGAAGTGCAGGGACACTTTCCCCTGACACCGCTGAGTTAAGGTACAGGATCAGACTGGCTGCAGTTGGCAGGGACCTCTGGGGCCATGTGGTCCAAGCCCTGCTCGAGTGGGGCCACCCAAGCAGGTTGCTCAGGACCACATCGAGGCAGCAACACAGCTTCTGGTTCTCCATTTCTGTGTGCCACAAACACACTTCTAAAGGTAATTGTTCAGACCTTCCAATGAGAGCATAAGGAGTCTGTTTTGGAATGCGTAGCCAATCTTAAGAATAACATTACAAACATTCCAGTAATCAATTATAATCTCCAAATTTAACGTAGCATTCTAGTAATTAATCTCTCTTCCATTTAACACTTATTTTTCTGCAGCACTCAAACCGACACTGAATAGATCATGTTCACTGAACAGAACTGATATTGCTGAAGCTGACTGGGGGGGGGGGGGTGTTACTATTTGTCTGCTGAGGAATCATACAGGGTTACCTTTAAAGTTTAAAGTAAAAAATGCAAGAACTGGGCATAAACCTCACGGAATAAACTGGTGTGCACCAGTTTATATTATTACATATTAGGAACCGTATAAAGAAAAAAACAGCCATTAGAACAGTTTCTAACTTTTATCATCTTTTTGGGTGACATTACTGAGCCAAAACACTGCAATTATAAACATTTAATTTCCATTTCTTAAATGCAATTAAGATGTCTAATTCAACTGTTTTTATATTACAGTAGCTTTTCACATAAATAGTACAGATATGCACTGCTCTTGACAGGCACACAGTTACAAAAGCAGCTCTCTTGTATTTAGTTTGCTCTCTGTGTGGTGGGGTTTGTATGAAAAGCATTCTCAATTTCTAAGCATGGTACAATTTTAATTCTTAATGCGTTAGTACAACAGTGCATTGGAAAAGTACTGAGCTTCTACAAAAAAGCTTTACAATTTTAAAACAGATTTTTTTTTTATTTAAACAAGCATAGGCAATTCTTATATTTCCACAACAAGATAAATATCCCAATTAAGCTAACAGCTCATCCTACAGCGTGCCATAGTGATGGGGAAAGGGCTAACATTAGTGTTATTTACAGACACGTCCAATATTAACCCAGTATGAAAATTTAAAACATGTTCAAGTGTGCAATTAAATTTGTGTTATCTTTTTCAGTCAGTTGGATTTCTTGCAGAAAATCATCTACGACTCATGTACATTAAGCTGGGATGACTTCTCAGACTCCTCGTAAGCACAATCTTTAGGACAAAATGTTTATTGGGCTGGGGGAAGGAAGTGGCTAGAACTTACTCTTCATAAAGAAAAAAGTATTTTTAAATTGGTAGGCGTCTTTGGACAAGTGAAATTTAATCACACAAACTGGCTAGATGTCGAAACCCCTAATTAAAGGAATTTTAGGATTTTACAAGTTTGAATTCAGAGAAAATGCTCTCATGAGGGAAGATTCACTCCAAGTCAGTATTATACAATGAGGTACCACTCAAAAAGTGGCCATAAAGGAAGTGACTTCTTTGCCCATCACTATTACACTAGCTGCTTGGCCATGAATTCAGATCTCATTTAGACAACACTCTCTCTGTTACCAGACGCTAAGACTGCTCTGCGACAAATGGGACAAGTGGAATTTTCTGATAACCAGCGATCGATGCAGTGGACATGATACTCGTGAGAACAAGGCAGTTTCCGAAGCTTGTTGCCTTCTGTGTACTCCGTAATACACACGCTACAGGTTTTCAGAGCATCGCTCTCACCAAAATTCCTCATGGCTAGGTTGTCAATTTGTTCTTTGGTGAGTCCTCTTGGTTGGTCATCATCATCTTCATTTAGTAGGAAAAATTGTGCTAGGCTAAGGAATGGGAGAGAACCACTTTCTTCAAACGTGACCGATCCTCTTGTATTCCGACCTTCCCGTCTGGCACCAGATGTTGAACCACCTTCATTACCACCTTCATACACCTCCCCTGAGCTAACATCCGTACTTTCATTGCCTGAACTACCACCACCTCCGTTCTGCGGCTCGGAAGCATCCACGTTCTGATTTGGAGCGGGGCCACTAGGATCTGCATCACTATCACTATACATAAAGTAACTCAGCTCTCCAAAGCCTGTCATTATCTGCCTCAGCATAGTCTGAATAGCAACTGATGTAGTCTCGCTCAAGCCTGTGTTTAAGATCCTACGAATAGGAATCCTAATGGTACTGACATAAGTTCTCACTCCAGCCCGTTCTGAACGTGAAAATGTGCGCCTAAACCCTCCCCGTTCGCTCTCGTAAGTGACCGTGTTGTTAGGGGTCTGGGACCGGGACCGAGTTCTGTTGGCTATGCTGTCCCTTTGCCGATACTCCCCGGGACGAACTCTTCTCACCTGAAGATCGAGCACTATGGTAGGAGGCCTCTGCCCAGGAGTTGCAGACTCACTGGCACCATTAGTTTCTGAAGAACCTGCCGCCTGAGGAGCAGGTCTTGTTTCAGGGGCTGAAAACAGAACTGCGTTTTCACTCGGCATGTCAGTCCCCACTGCATGCTGCCTTAACGTCACATGCTGCCTAGTTCTAGAGCTTCCCTCAGCTTCATTCACCGACGAATGGTCAAGCGTTTGAGATGATGTATTGTGATGAGACCTGCGAGGAGCCTCACTCACTGGATTAATAGGTGACCTACTTCTATCAGTCCTAGCCCGTGTCCTCCGCTGTTCTGGGCTCCTACTTCTCGCTCTCCTCTGCCCTCTAGGAGAAGCTTCCTCAGTTGTTAGCTCCTCTGAAGTGCTCCTTTCTGATCCAGGCTGCCTTACAGATGGTGATTCAGACCTTGGAATTTCAGAGTCACTTTGGCTGTTTTCCAAATCCTCCCCACTGGAAGGCTCTACAGATGGCTCATTCTCAGTTTCCGGATTTGTGTTCCCATTATTACGGTTGACATTTATTTCCAAACTGAATCTGAAGTCACCACTATTTGGGTTAGTCCGGCTCACTGCTCTCCAAGATTGGTTTCCTCGTTGCCCACTTCGTGTAGTATTTCCAGTCTGTCGGACTGAATTAAGCCAGTCTATTATAGAATCTCCATTTGAAACATCTTCTGCGGATTCTGCACCTGCGAAAAAGACAGTGAACTACCAAAATTAGAGTACTTAGCTAACATTGGAGTGATCTTTTCCAAAAACATAAGTGCTTAATTTAAAAAAGCGACAGTTTAGAAGCGCTTAATCCCATCAAGAGCAACTGTAGTTTCACATGTAGCATCACAGTTCTTATCTACCAGAGCTCTGTTAAGGGAGCAGGAGTGGATTTCTTTTTCCTAATATGCACAGACAGGCTGCAGCCATCACACAGCAAACAAGTCTAAGTAACACGTATTATTTATTGTAAATGGAAAGTCTTACTTCATGTGTTAAAACACATCAATATTCTGTGTTTTCCTTTCCAAACAATTAAGGGATCTCACTGAATCGAGACCTATGTTTGTCCTGACCCTTCACTTGGAGATCAGCTGTGCAGCAAACCCATCTTACTAAAGAATAAACCCCAGTGGAAAGCTCCAAGAATCCTCCACCAACCTCTTTAGAGGGGTGATAACAAAACCCATAGAGCACCTTTGGAAGGGAAGAACGGTGAATAAAAACAAAAAGAAGAATTGCCAAAAAGCATCCCCAAAGGGAGCAGACAGGAAAACAATCTTCAAAATAAAGAAAAAGAAACCTAAATGGAACTTTATTCTGATGCAAGTAACAGACACGTTATGGGTGAAATCTGTCCCAAACTGATCTCTGCAGCAGATATCAGACATAACGTTCACTTAGTTTTGAAACAAAGCTCACCTTGCACCTGCCTAGGCTTAACTTGTTCCACTCCTGCACTCAAGTTAAGGTCCGTATGGGGTGCTAAAGTTAAGAGTTTTCACAAATACTGTATATACCTCTATTCTCATCACTGTTTTGCTGTGGCGGACCTTCTTTAACTTGGTGTAGCCTTCTCAGCAACTCTTCTTCAGTAATTTCACCTTAGAAAATAAGCAAAATTTTCCAAAAATATTTCCAAATCATATGTATGGCAAGCATTATCAAAAGCTTCTACAGAAGGTACAAGCCACTGTGTTGTCTTTTTTTTTCCTCTAATTAAATCCTGCCATAATGAGACTGCCAAGCAGGTTGCTAAGGGGCAGTTCAGACACTTCAGCACCACTCTTCCAAATAAGTTTTGCTGAAGGATCCAACAGTTTCAACCTACTCAAAAAAGACAAATGTGCTTTCTGGTTCTGCAACCTCTGCAACTCATCAGCAGTTTTCTTCAGCCTATTCCAATTAAATGGCTGTCCAGAGTGGGGAAAAAAAAATGATAATGTGTTCACAAGCACGAAAAAAAGTTCAAATTAGTTGAAGTCATGTTTTAAATTATAACTAGTTTCAATTAGGCATCATCCTATAAAGAGTCAATTTAAAGTAATAAGTTGATTAAAAATGGACATAAAAACACCCATGCAGAATCTTGCACCAGATTAATTATCCTAGTTACAAACTCTTAATACCAGCATAAAGTTTTCACACATGCTTAAGGGCGATTTCTTTTCTGTCCCAGAAGTCTAAGGGGCCATAACAGGGTCAACTCTGGATGTTCCCATCAAGTGGTGTGAACAGCAGACTTTAGTATCTGATGAATCCACATTGTCCCAACCACCTCTCCATGGTGGAGCCCTCAATTTTGAGTATGTACAAGGTAGCAAGAAGCTACTCCCTACCACGGAACACAACCGCAGCACATGAACTAAATGGGTGAAGGAGATTGAGGAGAACAGATAACGACACAAATCAACTACAGGCAATTCCAGTAAGATGTACATACACAAGCATAACCTACCTGGTGTTCCTAGCAAATTGTTATCTCTCATCAGCCTGTAGTCCTCTTCGCTCAGGTTGTTTACAAACTGATAGAAAGCTTCTTCTCGATCTAACCGATCTAGCTGACTCTGACGTTGTGCTTCGGATTGATCGATATTTCCTTTATCACTAGAATCTGAGCTCTCCATCTTGACAAATGGAAGAGTATCTAAAAAAGAAAAAAAGAAACTCTTCATTCAACTTAGTGAAACACAGCATGATATTTAGATGTTTAACCTGTAGTATATTCTTCATTAAGTTGAGGAGAAAAAGACTTTGCTAATGAATTTTCAGTTAAGATTGGCTGCAAAACGACATGGATCACAACAAAACCATTCTCAAAGCACGAGCGACTTCCAGAACTACAAAGTCTAGAGCCACCACTACTTATATTCAAAGCAGCAAGTACAAACACCATGGAATAGTATCAGTTTACTAAGTGTCCACAACAATCTTTTTGCCATAAAATACTCTTAATACTGCAACTGTCTCATGAATCCCAAAGCCATGCCTTACAGTGCCATACAACAGCGTAGCACGAGGCACAAACCATACGTGATTATACTAACTCTGAAAGAGTACTCTAAAAGAGATTAAACATTCATCACTCCTCCTTTCCCTGCACTATGGTAAAGAAAGCAGAAATCAATCTAATTTACTGCCAATTAAGAGAACCACCCTCTTCAACATCCAAGTGAGTTTTAACAGAATGAAGGGATTTAAATAAATGAGTCTGAAGATGCTATAGAACACTACATATGAAAAAAGAAGAGATGGGGCTATTGGTATCCTCCAAAATGAAAAAGCAGTTGTAAAATCAGCTCTGTAGCTGTAAGTCAAGAGAAGAATTTGCTTGCAAGTTTCAGTAACTAGCGAATTACTGATGTTGATGACTAATACATTTCCAGGACAAAACTCCACCATGTATACCTGCCAGAACTTCTGCTTCGAAGAATTATTTTCTATAATGTGGTTATAGTAAAAAAAAAATAAAAGTCTTCTCCTCACATTGTTTTTCATTTGGAAGAGATCCTTCACAGCATCTCAAAAAAAAAAAAAGAAGAATAAATTAATACAGTGTCTATATTTGGTCAAAATTAAAACAAAAGACATGCAAATGCAGGAGACATACTGGCACTAGTTGTGCCATGCAAATATATCAAATGAAGTTAAAATAACTAGTTTCCTTAATCATCATGCCTCACTACTCACAACATCAAGAATTTTCCTGTATAACTGGTAGAATCTAGTTACTCAGAGAGGTGATTAGCAAGCTAATCCTCTGCATGCTAAAAAGCTCTGCAATAATATTCCCCATCAAAAAAATGTTCCTTTCATTTAAACCATGTTGCATGTGACATGGAAGAATAAAGCTCTTTGCTTCTTGCTGGAAAGTTTCCAACATTCAGACATCTGTCTAGTGCAAAAAGCATCTTTTTTTGGTTTGTCAGCACAGCTGTCAAGTCAGGACTGCCCACAGTTAACACCAGTGCCGCATGATCTCCGACTGGAGTTTATTTCAGCTGCTATTGTGAACATTAAAGTGCGCTGACAACCTCTGTGTGGCAGTAGGAAATTCCACAGGATAGGACATCCCACTATTGCAGGCTTGCAGATGATAGAAACAGCCACTCCAGTCCTCATTCTGACGCAGTAAAACTTGTTTTAGGTTAGTCATGTAAAAGCACAGACGACCTGTTGGCCCTCCGTGTTCCAGGTGTGGAAGGCTACTGGGATTTGTTTCCATGAGAATCAGTAAGCAGCAGCGATCTGCGGGGTTACCACCGTTCCAGACGGAAGGCCAGCAGCTGGCCCTGCATTGCTACATCTCTGGTGCAACCCGAAGACTGCATGGCCAGTCTGAAGACTCGCATGTGACACGCTGTCAAGTAAACCCACTCACAGGGGAAGTTGCACAACGGTTCCAGCAGGTACGTCCCACTCGGACTGGGCTCAGTTATGAAATCCGTGTGCCCTTCAAACCTCAGACACGTACTTCCAACGAGAACAGAGCTTGCTTGAAACCTGACAGCTTTTTACACGCTTTCTGCAACACAGCTATGACCCCAACTAACTTCAAGACATATCAAATCGAAGGAAAATACCAGGAAGACAAAGCTGCTGCTTTTTACAAGAGACACCTGAATAATAAACCACGTAGAACGAGACTTGATTGCAAAATAAAGCCCAGGAAGATGCTTTATCTTTGGAAAATGCTCTAACCAGCATTTTCTTTTTTTTTTTCCATGAAACTGACGGCAGTGAAGCAAAGTTGACAGCACAATTAGGAAAATCAGGGAATGCAGTAATGCTAAAGGACAGGGGCAGCATAAAGCTGTTTGTAAAATACTTTCCTCAGAATGGTTGCTACCTTGATTTTTACTGAGCTTAAAACGTGTTCTTCACAAACTGCAACATTAGCAGATTTGTAGGCACTAGGCTAATTCAACAACAGGTTTTAAAAGAGTGCATTATGTATACAAAGTCTGACATTTGGTTACTGCTTATGCTTTGAAATTTTCCTTTTGACTGCAAACTCCAGTGCTCGCGGGCACCTTGGCTATCTAACACCTACTTGACAGCGAGACTTTTACCCACTCCATTTCAGAAGATGTAGAGGACACTGCTCTTGGTCAGGAAGAAGGCAAGAGGCAAAACAAGTGAAGTTGAGAAAAATAACCTCTTCTTTACCAACAGACTGATGCACACTTCAATAGCTGACTCTTTAGGAATGCTGAAACTACAGCAAAGTCAGTCTTTCTTATTTCCAGGCTTGCTCCCCTCTCCTCCTCTTTCAGCTTTCAACTGTAAAGTCAGCTGCTGGTCAAGACTGCAAAGACATCATGGCTAAGAAAAAGCCTCAGATCTGGGATCTCAGCACAAATCCCACTTGCAGGGTTCCCATGGTGGCAGTGCTGCTCCGTTTTTGATGCGGTGGAGGGTCACACAAATAACTTGGGAACCCTTCCCTCACTCGGGGGATTCAGGCTTCTGCTCTCAGCTCACACACTGCAGCAAATTAGGACTGGCTTAAGGAAGCTGACTGCAGCAACACAGAGAAACCTGACGAGGGAAAAGCTACAGGTATACTATTAAGTTACAAAAGAATACCCAACATTTGATTATCTAATAAGCAGGTGCGCTTCAACTCTGTTTCTCTTTCTCCTAGTGGTTTCGTTCAACTCAAAGTAAGACTTTGTTCTTACTCATGTGAAAAGATTCAGAATTTCCTTATTTAGTGTTCTTCCCTGTCAGCACTGAGTTGACAAAGGGTGGGGAAGGTCACGTCTGTGAGTAGGAAGTTCAGATCTGTCAATTACTGCCAGCTTCAGCCGGGATATCCAGTAATGAAAATTTTTTTTTTTTTTTTTTTTAACAGGAAACTGGAAAAAAAAATCACCTGAAGGCTGCCCAAAACAAGGTATTGTACTGAATCACAGCTAGAATAAACTACTTTTTCTTAAAAAAATAAATAAATGAAGGGAAATATTCTTCAGCAGCTGAAGATCCAGATATTTTCCTGTGAATACTACAGTGAATTCTTAATTGGTGTTCCCATCCTTTGACGAGTCAGCAAAGGATCTTCCCGCAGTTACGCTCCAACAATCTCAGATCTCAGAGCACAGCTGACTAGCTGCCTCCCCACCGCTGCTACAGACTGCAGCAGCAAGAACAGCAAGCCCCAAGCAGGTAGTGATACTTCATTTTATTCAAGAGGATGTAATATGCGCTCGTGCATAGGGATGATTTACCAATCCTAGATGTTCCCTATGGTACACAGTACCAGAAGTCTGGTAACAGACTTCTTTTTGTGTAAACAGAAGCCAGTCAGGAATTTACAGTCATTAAAAGAAAAGGAGTGGGACAGCAGGCAGGAATAAAACACTCCTGTTGTCCCTTTATCTTTGCCAGTAACACTGGGCGTCTCCGGAGTGCTTAGCACTGACAGACTAAAGAATTCTTCCCCCAAAAGTACTGATGGAACAGAAGTCCCGGTGCTAAATTGCTAGCTCTTTCCCCTTTAAAAATGGTTCCTATTTCCTGACATCAGTTACCTGTATTAACACCAGAACACTACCTTAGCTGGCATTCTTGAAAACACGAAACCTCAACGTTATAATCTTCATCAGATTTACGAGGCAAGCCTTAAATTTTAAGAAGAGAAAGGCACTTAGCTGATGTACAGAAACAAATGAGATGCTTACGAGCCGGCTGTGCAGCCAAGGTCTCTCAAACTCCCCCCATCGAGGCGCTGCTGGCGTCTCAACGTTACGTGCGAAGGCGGAGCGCCCTGAGTGTTCCAACGTTTCCTGAATTACCTCACGGCCCAGCAACATAATTAATACCTTGGTATACACAGAAAGGATGATGGCAATATGAATAAGTGTCTCATAGATGTGCTCAGCAAAAGGCTAATTTCTCATTTATGATTCATAACCTCAGCTTAATTAGGTACTTCAGCCAGCAGAGCACCTTGCCTACTCCTAGGCTGCAGGAATTGTCAAACCCTTTGACTAAAAGCAGCGACTCAGTAGAGGAAGCTGCACCACTTGGTATTTCTGGTTTGGGCTCGTTTCGGGTTAGCTGTTCTCTCCCCTCTTTCACCGAACACACCTCAGAGATGTTTTAGCTGCGTGGCTCTTCTGCAGAGCTGCCTGCTCAGCGCTCTTTCCAGCGGTTCTGACATCCCGCCCCGTTGGGCAGGACGGGCCCCAGGCAGCTCAGTGACTGCGGGCTCTTCAGGCACAAACAGGACCGACCTAACGGGCAGCACCGACTCCCCCGGCCCGCGTTCGATCCGACTACCAGGCTTTCCTAGAAGACTCACGAGTGGAGAAATCGTTTCCATGCTCGTCAGCGCACAACTTCTCAATAACCAAAGGCAGACAGAACAGGAACTACATCTTCATCTTAAATATTTCATCTCTCCAGACTGCAAGCTCAAAAGCAGAAGCACAAAACTGTCAGTGAATCCTATCATTAAGGAAAGGAGATACCGTGAAACAGTGAAATCAAACAGCTATTTGCATTGTACATGGAGCTTCGTTGCATCAATGTTTTTTTTGTCTTTCTGGGTAGCTACCCAAGTCTTCCTTGGAGATTAGGCTGAAGGCTATGACAGCGTAGGTGCAGTTCCCTAATCTACATCTCAGAAGTGGTAACAAGGAACTTTTCTACCTTTCAAAACTGCAGCATGAATTTTGGACACACTCCTTTTCCTGCTACTCTTGCTTTCTGATTGTCTGATCAACAACAGCTCTACACAACTTCAAGATTTCTGATTAAACTTACCACAAATCCTAAACACACAAGAACTCTGCGTCCTCCTGGCCTCAAAAAATACCATGGAGCGTGCCCCACTTGTGGAAAGCAGGAAGAAACTTGTCTTCTGAGAAGTATATCATGTAAACCGCAATGAAATTCAGTGCTGACTTAATACAGAGAGTTAGACACGGATTCAGCCAATTCACTGCCCCAGAAGGCTTCAAAGCAAAGTCCATACAACAAGACATCACTCTGAACGTACATTTTAAATAACAGAAAGCAAATGAATACTCATTCAGCACAGCTGCAGAAAATTCCACAGAATAAAAAAAAACAAAACAATGAAAACATTTCAACAGAACACGCTGATAGGAAGAGGCGAACACTTGCCCATCTTACTGTATTGATTCCCACCTCAGAGAGATCTCGGCACAGAAACGAACAATTCCTTACAGGTTTCCAGATCACCTTCTGGGTGGAAGGGTGGGACTCAGCGATTCCAGAACACTGAGCATGGGGAATGAAGACGGAAGTAAGAAGATGGAACACGGCAACAGTCACCAAAATAAGAGCTTCACATTTCATCCTCTGCACTTATCAGCACAGCATTTTTCACACAGACGTTGAAAACAAAATTCAGACAGCACTTCCTTTTGGGCCCAAACTTGGAGGGTACCCCAGAAGAGAAAGTTCAGCGTCCACAAGGTACCACAACTTTCCAGCTCTGGGAGAAGACAGTTGTGAGGCTGGGCTCTTCTCCCCCAGCAGCAGGCTTCCTGCTGGCTCAGCACGCAGAAAGCTTGAAGGAAGCAGCGCTGCTGCACGCCCGTACCCAGCGCTGCCACGGAAAGCCAGCGGCATGAGCAGGGCTGCCAAGTAAGGAAGTTGTGCCCACAAAACCGAAGGCCATCACGCTTTGATTTCTGCGGAAGGAGAACTTCTGGTCAGGGGAAGCACTGAGGCAGTCGCACTGACTTAAAAGCCCAGCTCTACGTTTTTACTCTCACTTTCTGCACAAAGCTGTTGCCGACGCAGCTTCTACTAAAAGGCCAAGAAAACAGTGCCGATCGCTGCAAATACAACCCCCCCCCGGCGACTCCGATGCGAGGACTTTTTGTTGTTATCGCTGCTGCCTGGTACCCAACAAATATCAAAGGGGAAAATTTCAGCACAATCTAAGCGAATTTCCATACCTATCCTAAGACTGTAGCTCCATTTCTGACGACAAACTAAGGCGGGCAAGCTCAAGCACTCTAACAAGATTATGTGCACATACATCTTGCATGTTGAAATTAAGGCTGCTCTAAGTGAAATGCTTTTAAGTTACTAAATTAGGAGCAAGTGAGCGCGCCCTGACTTCTCCGACATATTCAATTATCCTGAGATGATTTTATGAGGCTGCACAGCTCCGCAGACCTCCTTCAGTAAAAAGCTGGGCTCCAGCACTGCAGAGCAGCAGCAAGACACTAACAAGGCCCTCGTTAATGACAACGCGAGGGAGGTGCAGCCTTGTGTGGTTCTTATGACCTGATCTGCAACCAGGAATTTGCACAAAAGCAGAACTGAGGCTGTGTGCCACTTCTGGCTGCCCCTACCCACCACGCAACGACCCTGCCTCTAAGTTCTTATGCTACTGAGATGTTCAGAGGCGTTGGTTTTGAGATGCACAAGACCACCATAAAAATATCCTGAGTTTTGCTTTATCCCTTGAAGACCAAGTTTCTCAAGCTAAAGAGTTGATAAGCTCTCCTCAAGACTAAGATTATGGCTCAAAAACTCGGATAAATACCCAATAATCTTGCTTGGATTCAGAGATGTTTTAGTACACGGAAACAGAAAGCTCTATAAAAAAAATAAATAGAAAAGCCTAGTAACCTGTTCAGCTGGACTCAAACGGAACCTTTAGGCTCATGTAAATTAAGTCAAAACATTGAGTTACAGCAGTAAAAAAAGAAATTACAACACCTCCGCTGCAATTAGAGGCATTCTACCAAGATCAAGGAACTTATTTTGATACATTTCCATAGGGATGAGGAACGAAGGGATGAACTAGCCAGGTACATTAACACGCGGGTGTTTAAGGAAATATTTCCATCGCGGGATCACATTACTCATTCCCCTAAAAATACTGAAACAGAAAAAAAGGCACGTAATAGAGACCAGACACTTGTAGCACTGTTTCCAGCACACCTTGGTATGTCCATGTATTCAGGGAGATGGGAAATAAATACGATACAGATGTCAGCCACTACGTGCTCAACGAACGCCGGCGCGCTTGTTCAGTCACAAACGTTTCTGTAGCACGAACTGTCGTGTTTTAGTTGTGCAACGTAACAAAAACCCCTGAATTTTATCATCTGTGGAATGCTTTCCACTTGTTAGCAGGAGGGGAGACAAAATCCCAAACCATAATTTGTTTAATACCAAAACGGTCAATGTGTAGAGGAAATCCACTCATTTTAAATGCTAGTTGACCACCACCACAAAACTAAGCATCGAACTCTTAATTAAGATAATTAACCGCCTAAGAAGCAGTCAGCTCTTCTTTATAAAAAACGTGGTTAAGTCCCTGCAGTTAGCATTCAGGGACAAGTAGGTATCGGGACTCCTTTAGCATCTTGATGACAACTTCCAGTCTGAAACCAGGCACCACTGCCAGCCTGGGCAGGGAAACACCTCAGCCGTGTGACTGGGCACGGCTGCAGTCTGAGTTCCTGTTTACAAGCTCCTCCTGATTATTGTTGTGACAAATTGAGAAACAAACAAAAATATATAAAAAAAAAAACGGGATTTTTGCTGTGAAAGCTTTTGTTGAGTTCCTTCTCCCACCTGCTAGAATCAAAACAAATAATGAACCTTAAAAATCTACACGTTACACCCGCTTGACATTGCTCCTCCATTACAGCAGGCCACCGAGGATGAAGAAACACACAACTGCACTTGCCAATAGTTTTGAGGCGTGGTAAACAGAAACCCTGAACGTCAACAAACAGCATTTAAAAAAAAAAAAAAAAAAGAAGGAAGGAAGGAAGAATCTGCTCGGAAAACCAAGGTAACAGAGCAAAGGTAAGGCGGCTAACGTGCCAACAGGGCCGGCACCGCCAACACCACAGACCCCAGCAGCTCCCAAACCGATGGGGACCCCTCACGAGGGACACGAGGAGCGCCCTGCCCCGATCCCCTCCTCCCCCAGCCCACGCCCCCAGCCCCAGCCCCAGGCCCCGCTGCTGCCGGCCTGGGGCTGCCCAGCGAGGCCCCGAGCAGCGCCCGCAGCCGCCCCCCCCCCCAGCCAGGGGCCGCCCTTCCCTCCCCTCCCCTCCCCTGCGCGATTTTGGCCGTTAAAGGCCTGGAGGTGGAGGTAGGAGGGGGGGGGAGGGGGGGGCCTGAGGGGCTCCTGAGGCGCTCCCCGCCGCGGGCCATTTTGGGCGGCCGCCCGCCGGCCTCCCGCACTCACCGCTCGCCCGAGCTCTCGCTGCGCTGCTCTCCCCGGGCTCTCCCCGGGCTCTCCCCTACCCCGCCGCCGCGGGCTCGGTCGCGGCTCAGCCCCGTCGCCGAGCTCCGTGTGCCCGCCGCCCGCCGCTCCCCTCAGGCGGCCATTTTGTGCTCCATTGTTACCAAGGAACGGGGGGACCGGAAGCGGCCGCCCAACGGCGGAAGTGAAGGACCGCGCTCCCCCCGCCCCTCCCGCCCCGCGCATGCGCACACTGCGCCTCCCGGGCCGGGGCAAAGGGGGGCGCTCACCAACGAGACGAGCCGGGAGGACCGCCCGGGAGGGTAGAGCGGCCCCGTGCTGAGGGGGGGCGCCGCCATTTTGAAGAGGGGCAAAGGCTGAAGGGGGGGGGGCGGTGAGGCGATGGCCGCCCCCTGCCCGCCGACCCCTGCCTTCTGCCCGCAGTCCCCCCGGCTCGGTGCAGCTCCAGGTGGAGCCGTTCACGTTGGTGGCGGCATTTTTAGTGTCCCCACAGAAGCCTGGTGGCACGGGGGCCATTTCACGCCCCCTCACAGCTTGAGGGCAGAGGTGCCAGCCCTTGAGGCGGGCAGTGCCCCGCGTTCCCAAGCGGCTTCTTGCTTTTCTGAGGAAAAAAAATGAGCAGCAGGGCCGTGAAAGGCCGTCCTCAGGCTGTAGGTGTAGCAGGGTTTCCCCTCACCTCACTCAGGCTACGCTACACGAAGCAAAGGCTGGGCTGGTGTCACGCGTTAAAGTCACTCCTGATGCCACAGAAAGGCTAAATGTGAACATAATTAATCAATAATTAATCAAACGCCGCGTTCCCATGGTCCATAAGCCTGCTGCTAGGTTAAATAGCTCCGTAGTTGCACTTGCTGGAGCTGGATTCCTCCAGGATCAGCGCGTCTCCCCCGTGAGAGGCTGGCGGAGCAGCAGAATCAGAAATCGATAGGACACAGCAGGAAGAAAACTGTAGCTGAAAAGAAATAGGAGAGAAAAAAAAAAAAAAAAACCAACAAACTATGAGCTCATTTTTGAACCCAAGGGGCTGGAGTGTCACACTGAGTACTAGCACGGGTTTAAGAAGAGGGAGAGGTTAAGGCTTTGCAGAGAGCAGAAGGGATTCCATCAGAAGTTTGATAAGATCCCGTTTTACTGACTCAAAGTATCTCCTGAAAAGGCCATTAGGAATAGTAAAACCAACTTCCATGAGCGTCAGTCTTTATTTTTGAGCAAGAACCAGAACACAGAGGAAGAGCATCTTTGTGAGGATTGATGTGGTTTCAGCAGGACCACGGGAGAGCTTTGGTTCTCCTCTTGGTACCTCACCGATAACAGGAGTGAGACTGCTGTCAAGTTGAGGGGTGGGCAGCAGACAAAGGCTATTGAAACTTAAATGTGTAGAAAGAGACCAGCCCAACTACTGATGTAAATGAAGCGTTCTTAAATAATCACGGTTCGAATTTTCCCCTTCAGATTTGAGAACTCGAAAGGCAACTACAGTGTTTGGGCTAGAGAGAATGGAGAATTCAGTTACTTTTTCTCATCCGTTTCTCTTGCTACAGAAAGGGACCAGGAATGGAAATGATACTAAGACCATGATGCCAAAAGCATAATTAAAGGAGAGCAGGATCAATCCCAGTTCCACACTGGATCAGGTGTACATTCCCTGCTGTATTTTTGTTGAATTACACGGAGCATAAAGCATGGAAGTTTATTCCAGCTGCAAGTGGAACGATGATTCCCAATACAGTCGTAATAAAAAGGCGATACCTAACCCAGAATAAAACTTGCTTACAGAAGGTTAAGCTGTTATTTGTTTGTTTATTTTTAAAGCAAATGGGAGCTGGGACAGCAAGTTAAATCACATCGGTGCTTTGCATCATTGCTCCATTATGGATCCTTCATTACAGTTAGATTTGCTGTAGGGTCAAACCATGACCTAGCAAATCTGTTTTTAGTGGTCAACATGAGTAAAATTAAATAACAATAATAATAATAAAAAAAAAAAAAAGTGCGGGAGTGGGGGGTAAATTTAATGTCAAAAAAGCAATCTTGCAGTTTTAATGGGCCAAAATATTTGCCATTGGGAAAAGTCCTCTTGGAGCTATTCCTGACACATGAGGAACAGATTTTTTTTATGTAGATAGATTCCACTGCTTGGAGAAACTATCCCCTGCAGAAAGAAAGATCCCATGGCTGAGCATGTAAGCTTTCTTTTCTGACAGCCATCTTTGAAATAGGTAAAAAAAAAAAAAAAAAATCTGCTGTAAAACATCAGTAATTCAAGGAGCAGCTGATCAGCATACAAAAAATCCATTTTATCACGGAAAGCATTGTGCTGACAACTGATAAGACAGCCACTGAGTGTGACTATTGGCACTCAGCAAATCAGCAGGATGCCCACCAGAGTGCTCCGATGAGACCTCAGAGAACTGAAGCACTGGACGGTGGTGCAACTGTGACTTACGCGTGCAAGTGACTCCTGTATTTCTCCCTGCCTTTTCTGAATGCCAGGCAAGGTCAGAGCAGGATAAAAGTGGCTTTGTTATCCACCAGCAACCTAAGCAGAAAAATGTTAGGATTATTGAGCAAGTGGGAGGCGGAGCATATTCTTTTATTTGAACCAAAGGATGATGGTTTATGCTCCTGGTGCAGCCTCAGAGTATTTTATGACATCTGGCAAGCCATTTTGTTTGTTTGTCTGTTTCTTTTTCTCTCAATAGAATATTTGTGAGTGAATAACCTTACTGAAAGTCTAAAGCATCATCAAATGGAAAGCAGCAGAGGAATGAAGCATGCTATACTTTACTCCTGTGGGTGAGTTCACATTGTTATTTGCCAGTTTGCTTGCAGGTGAAAAACCCAGCGACGTACTTGCTGAAGTACACTTTACTTCAGCAGTAAAATCTTGTTGCTGAGGTCCAGCAACAACTGGGGACAAGAACCTCCCCACCCACTGCAGTGAGATGATTTGCGAATGCCCTACAGGGTCAATCCGATGCAGAATAAGCTCTGGTTTTTCAAAACTGCTTAGTAGATGTTATCGTCCAGTTAGTATTAATAATAATTTATGACCTGTGCACACATCTCTTTGCTAGCTTTGAAAAAAATTAGGATCAGCGTAGCAGTGCATTTCAAAGATAGTGTAGGGGAGAATGTATTTGCATAGAGAACTTTTCAGTATGGGGAAGAAATCCCAAATCTATAGCGAAAGCTTGGTGTAATTCATCCTTAACTGCCTGTCTGCAGTTTGGTGATGTATGTACAGCAAAGGAGAATTACAACACTTTTCCAGTGGTAAGTTTAATGTCGTTTCCTTCAATGAGGGTAAATAAATTTGCTTTAAATCCCCTTGGGTCTTAAGAACTGGTTATTTGGTATGCAGCGATAGATGAGGAAAAATGTTTGCTTTTTTTTTTTTTTTCCTCCTAGAAACATATTAAAATAATTTATTCACAATATAGATAAGTAATAATCCAAATGCAGTGAGGTGAGAAAAATCTGCATCTCTTGGGAGCTTCTAAACTGAAGAAAAAAAAAAGAGAGAGAGAGAGAGAAAGACCTGACAAACTGACACACTCAAATCCTTACATACTCAAAGCATTAGCAGAGGCAGGTACTGAGCAGGCAAATGAAGCCACTTCACAATAATCTACCAGCCCAGAACAACCCAGGGAGGAAACCTAAGGTTACAACAATTGCTGACAGTCTAACTTTTCTATTTTCCACTTCAGTACCGCCTGCTTTACAGCGCTCACAACAGGCCATCTTCTTCGTTGGACAAGTTACCTTCTGGTGGGGGGAGAAGCGTGGGTTTACGTCTCACACAACAAAATATTTTCCATTCAAACCGTATCACAGAGGATATTCAAGCTGGTCATGTTTAAATAGGCAGATCTGGCATCAAAGAGATTTGAAGTGCTGAAGGAAGAAAACCTTGCACCTTAGGGAGGCGTTTTTAATAGTTTTCAGTAATTTGCTAGACATAAACAAATTCAGATCAGGGACCTCTTTGTCAGGCAGTGCTGCGCTCTCAGGAGAGCTTAAATATTAGCTCAGGTACCATCCTGCCACATCCCAGCTCCTTAATTCCCAGCCAGGTAGAACACGTCTGCAAAAGACAAGAGGGGGGGGGGAATATTACACTTTCAATGAAGCAGAGGCCTGCGGGGGGAAGGATGGCCTTTATTTAAGTACATACGGTGTATCCTTGTCGTACTGATAGCAATTCCAAGCCAAATAACGTAGGGCTGATAAGAGGCCTCGCTAATAAAGCATTTCAAGAAGATACTCCTGCATGGTTATGAAAACTAGGCTTTGTCAGGTTAACCAGGATACCTTCCTTAATCACAGAATCACAGAATTCCTAGGTTGGAAGAGACCTCAAGATCATCGAGTCCAATAATATCAGGCCTGTCAAGTAGTAGTGCTGATACGACAAACCTGCAGTTGGTAAGACATCCGATCCCGTCTTTCATAATGTTTTGGTTGAGAAAGAGGAACGATGGAAGTCAATATTACAAATATTAATTGGACTGCAAGCCAACCGATGGGTCTCAGGGTGCAGCTGGAAGCAGACTCATCGCAGAGCACGGCACCGCTCCCTTCTGTCGGTTCCTGACCCCGCAGCACTTAGCGTGTGATCAGTGACCTCAAAGGAAATACAAAACCATTACTGGTGATCTGCAGATGTACAAAGTTAGGGGCAGGTCGCCACTGCAGAACCTAATCTGAATCCCTTAACGAGCTGAGCCTGAGCAAACAGCATGTTTTCCAGCACCACCAGATGTAAAGTCATCCGACTAAGAATAGAGCGGCAGCTGGACTACAGGGCGGGAGGCAAAACCGGAGAAAACAGTGATTCAGAAGAGAAATAATCAGCTGAGCACGAGCTCCTAATGAGATGCTGTGACAAGAGGAGCTAACACCTCCCTGGAAGCCAAAAGGAGGGGACACCACGGAAGACGAGGGAGGTTTTATTACCTCTGGTGCCGCACAGCTGCTGAGATGCTGCAACCTCTTCGTGGAGAGGGCTGGAGGAAGGCTCCCCCGAGGGCTGGACAGCACATCTTGGTGAGAAACACCCAAGGAGCACGGTTCGTTAAGAAACCAAAGGTTAAATGACACTTTACATGCAGTCTGGAGGAACGTACGTGGCAGATGTAACACTGAAGGGTTCTCAGCTGGACATCAGTGCCAGGTTGCTGCACGCTGCAGTATTTTCAGCAGTGGGGCAGGCTGCCCACTGAAACAACCCACCCACCCTCTTCCTGCTACGAGTGTCCACCACTGGAAATATTTAATGATATATGAGCACTCCCAGCTACAGGAAAAGGTCATTTCCAGTCCTCTCTCCTCCCTTTTTTAGATTTCGGACATCTCTGTAACTGGCTACAGCTTTCCAACACTTTTTTCACCCGTGTAACTTTTTTCTCTTGAGCCGTAGCTGCTCTGAGCAGCACGAGCTGTGGGGCAATCAGCATTCACAAATAAATAAATACAATAAATTAAACACAACAGCTTTATAGCTGGCCTTTGGCTCCAACTCCGTGCTGTAAGAGCAGCATCAGCCACCTGAGAACCTTCAGCGTGTTGTGGTGCAGGGGCACCCCCAAAGAACATCAGCTTACTGCTGGCCCTTGGCGTTTGGAAAACACTGGGTGCCTGCTGGGTTCTGCTGTTGTTCAGGGGGGTGAGGACTGTGGGCAGGTTTTATTTTCTCTTTTCATTCGTTTATGTTGATAAATGAGGGCGGAGGTTTTCTTAAGTGCTCATTGTCAAAGGCCTTAAGGGAAAAATGAGAGAGAGAAGCGGAAACACGAGGTGGGGCTAAAGGGGGGGGGGAAAGAAATCTTTCACAGACATTTTCCTATTCGGTGTTGATGGTCCCCCTCTTATCCACATCAAAACCACGCTTTTGGAGGTTCCTCACTCAATTCAGGTGCAATTTCTGATGTGGCCTGCGAGTGGGTGACTCAGCTCTGCCATCTGGTTAATCGCACGAGTAGCAGGGGGGACGCACAGAGGGCTCAGTGCCTCAGCCTTTCTGCAGCTGTTTCAAAGGCGAATGGTAATTCCTCTCCCAATGTTTTGCTCTTTCTGGGAATTTAAAAATAACTTGCCTAATGAAGCAGCGCCGAGCAGCTCCTGTGTCAAGGAGAAGCCAGAAGCTACGAGCTCCGACAGCCCAGATGCCAACGGGTAGGGAAAACCCACCTGGAAATGAGGTGCTCCACTTCACCAGGACACGAGCCCCTGGAGCCAGTGGCATGGGCAGGCTCCAGCTGCATCCCTCTGCTTCCAAGAGTAGCCATGGAACTGGCTACAAAAATGAGCAGAGAATGATGTGCTGGGAAGGAAAACTGCTATGAAAAGGCAGGCGTGGGGGCCAGAGGCATACCTGGCTCTCAGCTTGGGCCGAGACTGGAGACAGAAACCCTTCCCCTGCCCACTTCTCACTTTCTTAGCCTCTCGGATTGATTTTCAACATATTGTTTTCTTGTTCTTCAGAATTAAATCATTTATGGTGCAAGTCCTTGAGGTCTCAGGCTTGCTTCTGCAGGTTCCATAATGCTTATCAGAGAGTAAATGTTATTCTTCCTGGTATATCAATGATACAATCTTTTTTTTTTTTTTTCCTTTCCCCAGCTAGTTGAATGATTATTACATTCCTCAAATCAATTCTCATTTTTCTTTAATTGCTTCTGGTGCCCTTGGCACTGTGGAGTGACAGGGCCTGGTGCCAGGGTAACTCGGTGATCTCAGCTGCACGAGAGGCGAGTGTTGGTCCTACAGGCTGGTGGCTTTCCCCGGGCCAGAGAGGACAGGGAAAGGAGTTGTCAGAGGAATTTGCCAGGCAAAGACTCGTGCTGCCACCTACGCGAGCCTACAAGATGCATACGACAAGCAGCATGTCCACGTTTTATGGAGCTATCTTTAGGAAATGCCAGCTCCAGGCTGCAGTTCACTAATCCCTTGAATAGTGTAAAAGGACAAACTGAAGCCAAAACAGAAGGATCGTGCGTTTCTTCAGCTTTGTGCTCCCATAAAGAACTGGGAGCACTGGGAGACGAGGGGCTTCCATCACTGGGATGCAGCTGCTTGAGGACTGGGTATCTCCCTCCCTCCGCACAGAGCAATGAAGCGGTGAGCGTCATCTCCTCAGCCTGGACCTCTGAGGACGTTGTCCACAGCCGTGACCCCGGCAGCGAGTGTCACAGTGAGTGTCAGGGCAGCTTCACGTGCAAACTCCTCCTGCCCACGCACACTCCTGCACAAAGCTGACGCTTCTTTGTGGGCTCACAGCATCGCAGTGGCTGCTCCTCATGATGACCCTGAGGTCCAGCTCTCCGGGAGATTTTCCACTGGCAGCTGCAGCCCTTTGGTCTCCTTGGGAGGCAGAAATCCCAGCGGCTATGTCCCCACCGCGGGGCTTGACCTCCAACAGCTGCCCATCAGCGCTGCTGATCCGTGCCCCTGGCAGCCGCCTCGACGTACCGCTGCTCCTGCAGCTGCCTGCCACGAACACCTACCCTGATCCCTCAGCCTCTTTATTTCCCTTCCTGCAGCCATCAGACATCTCTGCGCTTCATCGTGATAAATACCAGACTGTTGAATCTCTAGGGCTGCCAAGAAACGCATCTCGGCATAGCACAAATAGAGCTGCTATTTTTTTAATTTTTTTTTTTTTAATTCCTTCCTTTAGTTTAACATTTATTCCTGCTATTGTTGTCCCTAGAAGGATAAATAGGGCTGCACGTCGCTAGCAAGTTGCTCCAAATACATTAGGTGAAAGAATAAGTAACATGACGTCCCGAAGGCTAGGAAGACCAAATAGTTGAGTAAAGGGTGTGATAACGGGCTGCTTGTTGTACAGGTGCACCAGTGCAGGATGAAATGAGATCGAGTCATCTCCAGGCTGCAGGTCACGCACCTGACACTGCTCGGATTTTCTTCTGTCTGTGCAGGGGGAGCACTGAGGCAGGAGCACGTCCGTCACATTTCACGCCAGACCTGCTCGAGGATAATGAGGTGGAGAGCAGGCAGTCCTCAGCAGGTCCTGCTGGGCTGGAGGTGCTCTCGAGCAGGGCAGGAGAGGAGGAACATCAGCACGTGGCAGAAAGCAGCGGGTTTGGTGAGACACCGAGCCTTGGCTGCCGTCCCAGGGCTTGGGGTGGTGACCAGCAACTCCTGGAGAAGGTTGGGAAGGGAAGGAGGGCACTTGGGGTGGCACGGGGAGCCTGAAGAGAAGGGTTGGCAGAGGACAGAGCTGTTTGCAGGGAGAGAGAAGTGAAGGGGAGCTGGGGGAGGAGGGAGGCTGCAGGTGTAGCTCCTTTCTCTTGGAAGGAATCGGGATGCTCTGCAGAGATGGCAGCATAGGCAGAAGGAGGGGAGTGTTTGAGAAAGAAGTACTTAGGTGGTAAGAAAGTGGTGAGAGCTGGGGGGAGGAATATAATGGAAAGGGGGAAAAAAAATAATGATTTTGCAGCTTGACCGATAATGAAACCAAAAGAGAAGAGGGAGAATCTGACCACCACAATTACATCCTCACGCCCAGGACCCTGGCACCACCGGGACATAACAACTCGTACTGCCTGGGAGACGTTATGGTGAAGGATGCCACCAAACACTGGCAAAATGCATTCCTTGCCCTGCGAGGAGTTAGGCCTTTTTCTGCATCTCCTCCAACCATGCTGAGTCTCAGCTCCTCCGCTCCCATTTGCGAGCGCTTCTCTCTCCTCGCAGGCAGCCACCACATCTTCCCTCGCGTCGTTGTAAACTCAGCTAGGGAGAGTAAAATGACAAAAACCTGGAGAAAAACAGGCAAAGAAACGACACACGGACATCTCACTGCATTTTGCAGTAAAGCACAGTGACTCCTATAGTTCAGATCAGTATCACTACCACACGTTTAGACCACACAAGCAGTAAAATAAACATCACAGCAGAAAATTCAGGTCCCCAGGACCCAGAGCATCCAAAGCCAGCAGTGATGCAGGAGGTGCAGAAGCCAAATTTTGGCTCCGGCAGCATCCACGCTCAGCCTCTGCCCTGCACCAGCAGCTGCCGAGGCTCCTGCAACAGCTCGGGATCATTGGAAACCTTTTTTTCCCTCCCCCAATTAAGTGAAATTTATCACAGAAATCAAACACCGTGGAAATGACCCCAAGGCAGGCTGATGATGCAATTGCAGAAGCTCTTTCCTTCGGAAATCAGCCTAAAGCACTAATGATTGGAGAAACGGCCTCGCAGCCTATTATTTGGTGGCCATTTACATTTCAAGGTCTCCATCTCCTTTCTCGTGTGAATCCTTCCTTTCGTGTAATTAAAGCTTATGAGCTGGAGACTCGTTTTTAAGGTACCCTGTTCTATTGATCTGTAATGGCACTTTAGAGGTGAAAACTAATTATATTAGATTTTAATCAACTCGGCTTTGGTCATGGAGAATGCTTTCACCTGGAGGAATCAAGCTGACTGTCTCTCGCCTTTTTCCTATTTATATTTTAGCAGCATTGTTCAGGAACAATGTAGCATCTTCCTTCTGGAGGAATTAGTCACTTACTGTACGTAGAGATCTTCAGCACGGAGTAATCTCGCCATATTCAGCCAAGCAGGTAAGCACATACTGAAGTCTACAATTAAAATCCTTAATTAAATCCTTAAATTAAGCACACACTTAAACGCTTTGCTAAAGAGGGATATAATCTCTAACATGCTTAAGATAAAGTGTGTGTTTAAGTGCTTTATTGAACTGGTGCAGCACAAGGTATGTTCCTGAGCAAGGCTGCCATGGGTGTAAGCCCACCAAAACCCCGTCCACTTGCCCGCATCCCTTTACCGACACCAACCCCACGAGGCCCCTTTCTGGCCACTCCCAACCGCAATTTATGGTGTGAAAAAAACCATCAGGCTGGGGCTGGGTCCAAGGAAGCTCGGGGGCTTTGTCCTGGTACCCCCAGCAGAGCTGTGCTGAGGCTGATATTAGCCAGAAGTTACCTCTTGCAATCATTTCCCTCTGCGTGGCTGGCTGGCGGTTCATCCAGCAGTTATCGGCACTTCCATTCTAGCTCTGTGCATGTGAAATAAACACGGTAGATGAGCACTTTTAACAGGGCCCTTTCTGTAACAGTACTCAGGCTCCGCTGCGTAATTAAATTTGTTTTATTTGGGTCAAAGATCTGGAGTGTGTACATTTAGTGGGTGCCTTATTTTATAGGGGAACTTTCACCATTTTTATTATTTTTTTTTAATATGGGAAGCTCTCCGCTGGAAGGAGCACTGCCATGACAAAACCCTTACCTTTAAAAGGCTGCAAAACTGGGGCTGAGCAGTGCAAGTGGCAGCGAATTTAACCCTCATCTGCCCTTCGTAGCCGGGCACTTTGTCTCCTGCTCGGCGCAGTGCTGCTGAGGTTCCCCTGCCCATCCCCATTTGCTCTGTGCCCACCTCTGCCCTCACCCTGCTCTAACTGCAGATGGATCCGCAGAGCAAAAGCAGCTTTCCTAGCAAAAAAAGCAGCTCCCCTGCACATCAGAAGCAAGCCTCCTGTCCAGGCTAAGCCCCAGGCTGCCCCACCAGCCCATCTGTCCGGCTGTGCCACCCTCCCCACACCAAGCCCTGTGGTCCCCACGGCAGGGACGTGGCAGTGGGCACTGGGTGCTGCTCTGCAGCACTGCTCCTGGCTCCCCAAAGCCCTTACCTGGCAGTCCTGCCTCGAGCAGCGCCCCGCGCATCAGCCCAGTTAGATGCAGCTTCACAAATGTGATTTGCTCCCGAGACGCTCAGTGGGCTCACTGGGGCATTCGTTCTGCTTACATCGCACCTCCAACAGGCTAATTAAAAAAAATAATAAATAAAATCAACAAATTAAAGTCTCTATAAGGACAGCCTGTGAAGGTAGCAGAGGAACTCCTAAAGCAACAGACACTTCATGGAGCAGCCTAAGCGCTGCAGTGAGGTTTCCCGGTGCTGCCCTCCCCACGCAGGAGAAACTGCTGCTACAAGAAAACTGGAGAAATTGGGTATTTCCCAAGAAATGCCCATCCCATTGGGACTTAGGGGTTGGAAACTGAAAGAGCAACTCTGCTGCCTTGTGCTGGGGAAGATGGAGAAAACCTTTTCATTTCAACTGAGTGATTGCATTTGGCTGCCTGGCATTTTGTGGGTGCTCGCTGCTGTGCCCAGCACATCCCCGGCTGTGTCCCCAACTCCCCGGGTGGTTTCTCCATACTCACAGCAGGAGCTGAAGCCCAGCAGCAGGCTTTGGGGTGCGCTGATCTGACGCCTGCCTCAGGATTTGGAAAACATTTGTGCCTGCTCTCCAGGATCATCCGCTGATCCAGGATCCCCCTCCCCGCAGCGCTGTGCCCCTAATTTCTGCAGGTGGAGGGCTTGGAGAGCCCTCACCTCGCTGTTCCCATCACTCGGGAAAGGAACAGCGATGTTTTGTCACCTCCAATTCCCACAAGGCCCCGAAGACCAAGCCCGCAGCATCCCCATCCTGCAGGAACATCTGCCCCAGCAGAGCTACCCGCAACAAAAACCCAGTGCCCCCCGTGCCCCCTTCTCACTGGAAGAAGCCAGAGACGAAGAAGCAAAAGCCACACAGGGCACTTTTCCCACTTCCCATCCACTGTCACACCCCTCATCTCTAACACAATTAACATGAGCCCAATTAAGCAGGAGGGCTGCAATCAGGAGCGCGTGTGTGAGGAGCGGCAGGACTGTCACTTGGTTGTTTCAGGTGGCAGCAATTTGTTTAAAGAAACGATTTCTAATATTCAATAAACGGCAGTTTTAATTTCTTCTTCATACATGATCTTAAAATGAGATTTTAAATTTTTTTATTTATTCCATAAACAATATAACAAAACTCAGCAAGTTAACAATATGACATTTTCACCATACAGAGTCAGTCACAAATATTTAAAACCTTTGCAACAAGAACAACAAAACCAAAAATATTACAAGAATAATTTACAAGAGGATCTATAAAACAGCAAAGCGCTCACAAATTTTCCAGTTTCCTTTACACAATATCACTACACTCTTTCACAACATTTCTTTTTATTACAAAATTCCCAACAAAAGTTTAATTTTTTTCTTTGTATTTTGGTTTTTAAAACCAGAAACTTTTAAGTATACATCCTTTTATTAACACCCGAAGGTGCAAAAAAAGGGAAACCTCACACATACAAACACTTCACAGCACTTTTCTAAGAAAAATATACACTTACAAAATATTTTACAAATTGGCACACTTAAAAATATACAAGATTTTGTAGGCGTCTTAGAGTGATCCTTAAGAATTATACTTCAATTGACTCTACAGAATATTTATAAAGCTTATTCTAAAAGAAAAAGGCAAATAATTTCCAAACATGTTAAAATTGCAGTGTAAAATGTTAAACAGAAATGGATATGTTACATTCATAAAAAGGGCCATTTAATATTCCTTAAATGCTCGAGGGGGGATAAAAGTTTTCTTTAGCACCATAAAACAGTAGCAACTTACTCGCGAGGTGCCTCTAGTTCTATGGAAGTTAACTCAAGGAGCAGTACATTCAAATCTCTGTAGGCAGCAGTCAGAACGGCCACAGCCAGCGCTGCGGGCAGCGAAACAGAGCATCTCCTTCGATTCCTACCCTGCTTCCCACGGGGAGTAAAAGACAAAAGGAGTTTAACTGGAATATTTTTTTTCTTTTTTTTTTTTTTTCTTTTTTCATTTATTTTATTTTAAAGTCTTCCCTTTGTGCTTTTGAAACTTTTTTTTTCTTTTTTTCTTTTTTTTTTTTTTCTCCTATCTATCGAAGGGTAGCGGTGAATACAAATTTTATTTCTTGTTTCCTTTTGCACCAAGTGTTCAAAGGCTCAGTAAACGTGTCTGGCAACCCAAGTATCCTGCGGGATGGAGGGCATCCTCCTTTTCTAGATCCGAATTCCCTTAGATGGCTGTTACTCCACTGTCATTAGTGTCACTTGTTTACCTGAGAAACAGATTTGAAAAGCCTTGCTTCTACCACAGACATTGTACTTTGTTTATTCTATATATTATTATTATTTTTTTTGCATTATTTTACACGCTGAAGAGATAAAGAGGCACATTCTCAAATAGATGTCAGCGCCTTGAACCATGCAACTTCCACCGGACTCCCTGGGAGCTGCATAGGCAAAGTCCAACACACCGAGTTGAGAAAGTAAGACCAAGGGCCTGATCCTGCACCGACTGAAGTCCATGCACCTGATCCTCTTCTCACTTACACTGACTTCAATGGAGTTTTCTCTCGGCTCGTGCCGGGGCCAGGCTGCGCTCCAGGAAAGCACCCGGGCGAGCGGTGGCCCCGGCAGCGGGCGCTCCTGCCCAAGTGCTTTGCTAGATCGAGCCCTCACTGAAAGAATATGGTCCGACAGGTATGGGATTAAAATGCTTAGAACGTCTCTATTTTGGTTCCTGGCTCATTGGAGCTGTAATGTTTTTTTTTAAAATAAAATAAAATAAAATAAAACAACCAGCTTTCCTCTCCAGACAGAGCTGCGCAGCACCGCTCGCCTCCCTCCACCAAATACCTCGCTAAACCTGGTCCGTAATCCGTGATTCTCCAACAAGTCTTATGTTAAAAAAAATAATAATAAAAAAGCAACATGTAAACCTGATCAAGTTTTTATTTTTATTTTTCAAATGATTACTTGAATCCCCATCAGTGATAGTTTTCTATTTACAAAACCTCTATATGCAAGTACCTCCAGCAAAACTGCGGCCTTCGGGGTCGGGCTGGCTGCTGCCGGCTCGCCGTCAGGTTTCTTTTGGGAGGACGTCGCCCTCGCTACGTATTCCCCGAAGGAGGGTCGTGTTAAACTGCCCTGGCTTGGTCTGATCTCAGCCCGTTTTCACGACCGTCCTTTGCAGGCGGCTGTTTTTTAATTTTGCTGCTGATTGTAACTCGCCCGACTGCAGCGTGCCAGCACGGCGCAGTTCGAGAGGAGAGCGCGACCACGTCAGGGTCCTTCCGCACGATGCCTCTACAGCAGGAGTGGGGCGAGATCAAGTAGAAAAGACATCTTAAGGGATGCTGCAGAATAAACATCTTTGTGCGGCTTGAATTAATCACCCTGAACAGCCAGGAGTCTGACAAGAAGATGGCTGACGTGCACCGGGATCGGAGAAGATGACGAATTTGGGGATGGGAAAAAGGCAAAGTCAGCATGGGGTGACACGGGGAGCCCACGGGGTGCTGGACTAGTGGGCAGGGGATGCATGAGACATCCCCGTGGCTGGGAGAAACAAAAATTCAACAATCCTGACAAGAAAGGGCAACAGACAAAACGAGTTTATATGGCAAGGAATGAGGCAAAAGTGGAAGTGATTAAAATCTTGAGGTAGTGACAGGCAGGTGGAGATAAGGGCCGAAAGGGGATGACTGATGTTTGGCTCAAGGTAGTCACCCTTTGTTGGTAGTGTGAGAGCAGACAGCAGGGGGATAACTTCTGCAGAGACAGAGAAAGGCCAGAGTTGCTCCGTGTGGGATTGGGGGGGTCTCTAAAATTTCCACGGTCAGAAATTTTGGGGAAGGATGCGGGATGACAACTGGAGATGGCAGAGGAATTAGAGCAGTGGGACTGAGAGGAGAGAAACAAGGAAGGCAGCTGGCATTTGTGACCAACAGTGTCCTGAAACGGCCGGCAGTCGGGTTATTCCTGGGTTTTCAACATACAATGTGTTTTATGCCTTATATTCACGCCCTATTGCACATTTCTCGAATGCAATAAATATTGCTATCTGTTTCAGTACAAGGTACTTTATCATGTTTTGATTTATGGACCACACAGTTAAAAGGTTCAGCATGAAGAACACAGCATGGGCCAGTGGAAATGTGCTTTCAAAGGATGGTTCTGGGTCAGAAGAAGGGACGTGCCGCGTCCCAGCTCCAGGCCTGACCTGTCTCCATAGGAGCAGGAGCCTGCACATCCCAAACCACGGAGCCAGCAGCCCCTCGCCCTTTGGCACACAGGAGGAGCTCCCCAAAAATTGGCTGGACGAACACATTCGGGACTTGCAAACTTGGGTGACACTACGGATGGAAAAGACGGCTCCGGGGGGATGTAAGGGAGAGCAGTGTGGTGGGGGAAAGCCAAACACCCAGGGATGGAGTCCCAGCACAGCGCTCGTCTCTGGGCAGCAGCGGCCGTGCTTACTTCACCTGTTCAATACAGTGCATTACCGTGCCATGCTCTCTCGTTGGCACTGCTGGCCCTCAAGATCTGAGTATCTGCTGGGAACATTTTGATGCCAATTCGACACTTGGCGACTCCGTCTCGATTCCAAGTGGTCAATGAGAATTGCTCTGCTTTTTTGCTAAGTGAACCTACATCGCCTGTTCAGCCACTCCTGGTGCTTTGCCTTTGGCACGGGCTGGAAACGACCTGCTTGGACAGAGAACTGAGTCTAGCCGTGTCCTCTGTGAAACACACTGCCCCTGCGCCCGCGGGCACGGCAGCGATCTGTCCGGCTGTATTAAGGCTCCTCTTCCTCACCCCTTCCTATTGCATAAGCGTGTCCAAGCCTCACACCCCTCCGGTCCCAGCAGCTCCCAGCTAGCAGGTCTCTTGCATATCAAGGTTTCATAAGAAGTCAGCAGCAAAACGCACAGGCTCTCAGTTGCACAAGGAAAAGAGATGATTATTTTTTTTTGTTGTTTTTTTTTTTTGTTATTTTCCTGGAGGGCGAGGGTGTGGTGAGTAGGGTTACAAATAAGGCCTTTTGATAATACATTTAGCATTCAATACTTAACGCTGTCTAATAAAGTCCAGTCATGTATGATCCGGCCCTGATCGGTGAGATCACCAATAGTTCTGGTTTCCTCCTTACACTACGAACTGAATCAAAGGAAAGGCTCAGAGCTGTATTTAAAACTAATGATTTTGCTTTCAAAATTTCAAACTATATTGGCATTGCAAGGTTAGACATTTAGGAAACACCAAAGCTATGATATGAGAGCACTTTTGACAGGCTCTGCATCAAAAATATTTAAGAAACTACTCAAAGTAAAAGTAAATAGCAATAAATGTATGAAACATATTAGTTCCATTTTTATAACTATTTTAGAATTTATCCCAGGTTATTATAAAATATATAAAACTGAGATACAAAGAATTAGCAATGTAACTTTGCATTTCAAATGCTCTTCAGCTACAGGTTTTGCTTTAAGAAAACAGACACTTGAAAAGCAGCTGTTTCGTAGTCTCTAGATGCAGACACTCGAGTTCCTGTCAGACTTACCTGGAGTGGTTTTCTGAACTCCTCCACCATTTCAACTCTCTCCTATAATGAAACTCAACATTTCACCATTATGTTTTTCTGCTCATGGTTTTAAAGAGAGGACAATACAATTTCCCAGCATCAGTTTCAAAGTTCCTTTTTTCTTTGTATTTTTTCCTTTTTTTTTTTTTTCCTTTTTTTTTTTCTTTTTTCCTTTATGAGCTTTAAACCACAGGGTGAATCCATGAAATGAGGTAAGTAAATTTGGCACACTTTTAGTCATGTCCATAAAACTTTTGGTAAGTTGTATAAGTGAACAATATTGTTTTCATCGTGAGTTACAGGTGCTTTCAAAGGGGGTGGTTAGTACTTAACTGGAATGTTTCTAGTAAAATCAAAAGGCATAGCTGCAGAAAACACTCACAACCCAATGTTGATAGAGAAGTAAAAATATATACAATACAGTCACTTGTTCATAGTTTGGCACAATTTTTTGTTGTTGTGGGTAATAGTGCATAAACTACTGTACAACAGTATGACTTTTAAAACAGTCTTTCACAGAGAATACCAGATTAGGTTCGCTTTCAAATAATAAATTCCCACAATTTCAAACTCTTCATTTCAGCACTTACATTTCAACATACCACAAGGCATATTTCGAAAGAAACAAATGAAAAAAACAAACGGAAAAAAGAAACAAACATCAAACGTCTTTTTTCTAGAAAAGGGAGTCTCTTCTTCAAATACAGGAAAAACCAAAAATGTTGTTTCTGCTTTAAGAAGAATGGAGTCTGATTCCCTGCAGAAAAACCAAACATTTTATGCCATCTTAGTTAGCTCGTGTGGAGTCACCACGACAGGATCAAATGCGCTAAACTCTGACACAGGAGATGAAGCTTTATGATGCAGGTTAGGAGATAAACAGCAGAGGGGGCTAGAAAGCACTCAAAATTGCCACATGAAGCTCAATTATGAATGAGTTTTCATTTTCAAACTAAAGAGCCTTTAGTTTAGAGATCTTGGCTTTTGGATGCATAACCTCTTTTTTGTGTTTTATTTTTTACAAAATGTTCAAAAAAAAGTCTTTCCTTTTCAAAATCATTAAAAAGAGCATGTAATCATTTTGTTTTGTATTTCCCCCAATAAATAAGTAATTAAAAACTGAAGAAGCCAAACAGCAGAAAAGAGTAGCCTTGTTAGTTTTTTTTAACCCCAGCCAAGCCAGAAAATTGGTCATTCTTTTAGGTAGCTTGCAAGTAATAATTATTTTCATGCATTTAAAAAAAAAAAAAAAAAGAATAAAAAAAATAAAAAACCAAAACCCCCAAAAACCAACAACAGAAAAAATAAACAACCAAAACTGTAAAAGGGGAATGTCTTTTTCATGCAACTTTTGCTTTCAGGAAGGAAAAAATGAGGAACAGCGGGCTTAGCAGGTAGTAGGAAAGTTAAAGGGGCATTCCAGCCAGTTTGGTGCAGCATTACCTCAGTTTCTCAAAAGAAGCTGTCACAGGTGGGTCCTTATGGGTCTGTTCGCGGTCTGTTCGCTTTATTTTACAGTTCTCATCCCTCAGTGATTTAGAACTCGATTTATGACGGTACAGTTTTTTATGGGTAGGTCCGTTATTGCCTAAAGTGCTCAGGTTACTATAGTTTTTATCAAAAAAGGGAGAGTGAATGTCTGTATTGTACCCAGTTGAACAGTTGGGGCGACCAGGGTCGCAGGCGGCAGCTTTGCCGTTTTTGCTTGAGCCCTTGTTGTTCGACTTGTGGTTCTTCGCCGTTCCCGGCGAGCCGCCGTTCGCCTTCTTCTTCGACTCCTGGGGCGTCCCTGCCAGAATTTTAAGGGTTTTCAGTTTCAGGCTGTTCGACTCGGGCGACCGGAATATGTCTGGCACGCTGTTGTGGCCGACGGGCCCCCACAAGGGCTCGATGGAGGCCATCATGAACCTCTGCACGTCCGCCATCCCCGAGGCGATGTTGGACAAGATGTTGGAGGGCTCCTCGAACTCCCTCTGGTCGTCATCCAGCAGGCCGGTGGTGTTCCCCAGGCCCGTTTCCGACCAGCCCGTGCCTCCGTCCTTCCCCAGCGCCCACTCTCCGGCCAGCCCGTTGTGCTTGCCCAGCTTCCCGGCGGCCGGGCCGCAATGCTGGACGCCCTCGGCGAGCCCCTTGGCCACCAAGGCCGGGCCGGCAAGCTGGGTGACGGCTCTGCTGCCGCCCGCTTGGGCCTTCTCGCCATTGAGGCCCGCCGCGTTCTTCCCCTTCCTGGTGGATCTGGGGGCCTGCCTGGAGTTCTTCCCTGGGGGCTTCTCGGCGCCTTTGTTGGTTTTGGGAGATTTTTTCCTGGTGGTTTTCTGGGAAGAACTTTGGTTTGTACCCACATTCTTGCTGGATGAACTTTTCCTCTTAGATTTCGACACTTTGCTATTGGTGCTAATTTGACCAGATGGCTCATTAAATGTTGACAAGCACGGACTTTTTTCAAGAAGGCTGACAGAATCTTCATCGTTGAACATATGGAACTGAAACTGGTGATTATTTAAAGTAAACCCATTATCTGCCTGATCCTCGGTCTGCAGGACCCCGCAGTTCCACTTGACCTTCTCGGAGCTGCTCAGAGCGGCCTGGGCGCTCTCCGGGAAGCCCTTCAGGGTGCCCAGGGGTTTGGTGTCGGAGCCGGCTATCTGTGGGGAAAGGTTGGGAGTGTCTGGAGGGGACATCTCCGAAAGCGACGACTGGCGGAACTTATCGGGTGTGAAGTTGGAAATGTCTAAAAGGTCCGTGGACTCCTTCAAAGGGGTGATTTCATCTATGCTTTGCTGGATCACTAGCTTGGGACTGCAGTGGGCCAAGAAATCGTCATTAATATCATCCTCGCCGTCCTTTTCGCAAGACTTTAAACTTAAAGAACTGTAATTGCTAGAACTAACTGACAATGAACCCACTGAATCAAAACTAATGAGTCTGCCATCATCTGTACTTAGTGTACCTCGCTGGAAATGAAAGCGCCCCTCTCCATTATTAAAATGACACGACTGATAAGAATCATCAGACTGCACTTGTTGGCTATCCGGCATGTAATTTTTTTGGTAGAGCAATTTGCTGCTATTCAGATTGACCGGAGGGTAGCCGGAGGCCGGGAGGCCGTCGGCACCCGTGGCACCGCCGAACTCTCCCGACAGCGCCGCGGCCTCCCGCAGCTCTCCGGCGAATTCCTGCCGGTTGCTGCCGGCAGCTTTGCTCGCTGGCCACACGCTGCCGAAGCTGCTCTGCTCCATCTCCAGGTGGCCGGGGGACTGCTGCAGCTCGGACTCGGACGGCGGGGACAGCACGCAGCTCTGCGACGGCTGCAGGCCGGCGAACGGCTTGTCTGCGGGGACGATGCTGGGGAGCGGGTGCTGCTGCTCGGAGGGGTGCTGGGTGAAGTACGAGATGCCGGTGCTGCTCGACAAATCCGAAGCGTCTAACAGTGTCTGCAGATAGCCTCCGGGGATCAGGGGTACATTGGTGGTGATATTAGCAGATGGCAGAGGCTTGTCTGAAGAGGAGGTGGATGGTAGGAAAGCAGAATTTTTAGCAATCTTATCCTCATGGCACTCCGGGAGACGGGAGCTGTCTGAAGCACACGGAACATTTTCGTCCTTCAGCCGCGCTGCCGAGTCCTGGTTTTCCAGCGCCGGGCAGCCCTCCGTCGTGTTGGTAGCAGCTTTGATTTTCTTGCATTTCAACCTGGCTTCACTTTTGAATTTGATCCTGCGGAGCACTTTCCTCTCCGTCCCCTTGTATTCCCGTTCCTGCGATTTGCATTTCACGGCAGCGATGCCCGTGATGTCATTTACATGTAATCCGTTCGCACAGCTGGGGGTGGCGATGGCTAATGCCTGCAGCCCTTTCAGGCCTGCATCCTCCTTACTGCTGCAAGGCTGCTTGTGATCAGAGGAGCAAGAGCCCAGCTTGTTCACTGACTGCTCAATGGCTTTAATTCTTTGAATCCTGTGCCTGTTTGCTAGCTTGCATTTTCGCTTCCGTGGGTGAGGGAGGAATGAAGCATCTGAGCCGTTAAGATAGAAATTCTGCTTGTGGTAGAGAGACGATCTGAGCAAATCCAGCCGGCTCTGCTGCCTCTCTTGCCAGAAGCCCTTCAATGGGGCCAGCTTTTCGTATTTGCTGAGCAGCTCCTCGTTCAGGGTAACAGTTGTCTCGTTGGCATCCACTTTGCTGAGCTTCACCAGCATATGCTTCTCCCCTTTAAACCTGTTAATGATGATGTACTTGATGATAACGGGGGGCTCCTTGCGAGAGACTTTTCGCCGCTTCTTGGGGCACCACTCGTCGTCATCCTCTTCCTTGGGCCCGTCTGGGAGCCACTCCTTCTTATCCAGGATCTTCTCGTTCTCGATGGAGTCCACATCGTACAGGTAGTCGTCGCTGTATCGCACTTTCCTCTTTGCCCGCAGCCCATAGTTCTGCTGGATGAAGGAGCTGGAGTGGTCCCGGGACAGGTACCGGCTGCAGTCCTTTATATCCCGCAGCACATCGAAGGAGGACTCCGTGCACGTGCTGTCGTCGCTGAACTCCCCAGAGTCCTCTGTGGAATTCACAGAGTCCAAGAAATGGCTCCTTTTGGAGCCCACGTACTGCACCACCTCCGTGCTGTTGCAAGATTTATTTAAGGCAGCTTTCTCCTCCTCCTCGCCATCCTCTTCCTCGCCATCCTCCTCCTCCTCCCCCCAGATGATGCCTTCCTCAGACTTGAATTGAGAAGGGTCGGCGGCACCACCAGGCCCCCTTTTCAGGGTGCTCCTGCTGTCCCTTTTGGTGCAGTTGCCAAAGACGCTGGGGAAGAAGTTGAACTGGGCGTCCTCCTGTAGGGCGGTGGTCTTCTCCCGCACGTTGTCCTGGAAAGACTCGTATCTGATCTTTAAGGAGCAGACGTCGCTTCCCAAGGTCGAATCATCATCATCAAACATGTAATTATCCACATCTTCCTCAGAAAACAGATTTACAGAAAGCTCATTTTTGGAGCAGAGGTCAAGCAGCTCAATTTTACTTTCGCTAATGAAAGATTCAAAATAGCCCCATTCCTGGTTGGGATTTGTTAGTAAGGGTTCCTCACCATTGCATTTGTCTAATAGTAATCCCTCGTAATAATTTTTCTGAGTGGGGTCCTCTGAATCACTGTCAGATTTTTCTGCATCTCTTTTGTCCGCTGCCCTCGATTTATGCATAGGGAAGCTTAAAAGCTGGTCTGAAAGCAGTTGATCCCCATATCTCATGGTTTCTCCTGTGCTCATGCAGTGAATCCCTATATCAGAGACCGAACAGGTGTCATAATCCCTATTTATATCCCCCACTTTCAAGCTTATTCCCGGCTCTGCATCAATGCCGTCCTTTGATTCAATGAAGCAGCCCAGGCAGGTCCGGCTCGGCTGCATCAGGCAGTCCCCGGTCAGGGCGGACATGCCTCCGGGCTCCATCATGCTGAAGGGAGCCTTCTCGCAGTCGCCCGGCAGCGACCAGGAGCTCATGCCCTTCGTCACGCAGGACGTGAGGGAGATGGCGTGGGCCGAGGAGTCGTCCGACGCGTGCTCGGGGACATCGGTGAGCCGCAGCGGGGACGGCGGGCTCAGCGAGCAGGGCTTCTTCGAAGGCAGGGGTGGCAGCGCGCGGTGGCACGCCTGGGCTTCCTTCGGAGCGGCCGTCAGGGCCGGGAAGGCGACGGCGGCGTCGCCGCAGGGCCTCTCCTCGCCATCCGGGGCGCGTGGCTCTGGAGGGACGGGAGGAGAGAGGGAGGGAAGGGAGAGAGAGAAAAAAAGGAGAGTTTACAAACCTCGCAGCTCCCGTCACCCCGCTCCCATTCTCCCCGCTTTTGGGGGCGTCTCTTCCCCACCGCCTGCCTGGAAGGCGGCAGGCTCCTCCCTGCAAGATCGCAATCTTCCACTCGTGCAGCTAATTAATTTTGTGATGTACGAAAACCAGCGAGGTAAACACTCTGCCCCCCGCAGCCAGTTGGAAGAGGTACAAGATTATGTTTAAAAAACCAAAACCATCCGTTCTCTCCTCCTAATATACATACCGTTACCTGGATACTGCCTTTCAAATCTGACAAGGTTATTAAAAAAACAAAACAAGCCTAATAAAAATGTTCCCATTAACATCGGCAAAATTAATAGAAAAATAAGATTCTTAAAGAAGCAAAACATCCTTCCTGCAGCACCTGCAGCTGACACGCACCTGAGCTGCGCTGCTGCTGCAGGGTCGCAAAGTTACAGCTGATTAAAAAACCGGCAGCCTGCTCGTCCTTGCAGATGGAAAGCAGGAGGAAACACAGAGTTTAAGGCAATTATTATTAAAATTATTGTTGATTTTGCAATTCTTCCCATTGTTCCTCATCTTTCAAATGCCTTTTGCATAACGTAAGGATTTTTTTTAATTGAAGGGTTTTTAATTTTCTTTGCCTCGTGGCACTCTTTTGTGGCAAAGTAAAATTATGAATGTTCCTTTATCCGACTCCTGGCTCAGCGGACGGTATGACCCTTGACATGGAAATGCGATGTCTTTTCATCCATGAACATGCTCGGCTATCTCTGCATTATAAAAACACACAAATGCGTGCATTCAGAACAGGCGGAGACCTCTGCCAGCCTCGAGCTTTTCTTGCTTTTGTCCCAGCACACAGCTTACCTGGCCGACCATTTCGCTGAAACCCCAGGTTGGTGGGGTGAGACCCCGCTCGGTGCCAGCAGAGGGGCAGCCCCACCTGACGTGGCACTGGGAAGCGTGGAGAAGCACATCCCGGCCCCACGACGAGGATTTTGGGAATCCCACACGGGTATTCGGGGGGCAAAGCACTGAAGCACCAGCCCGCTGCAAGAGCAGGGCACGCAGAGAGATGTGGCACCTAGGTAGCTCCTGCAATCCCCTGTGACAGGGGCATTTGCTCCAAAAGCCACCCTACCCATGGGTGAGCCTGGTCCCTGCGAGGACGGCCACCACAGCACCGTCCCACCAGGAGGACAGCGTGCCAAGCCACCCGAGCGCATCCACCTGGGACAGACGGAAAGGAGCACCCAGCCACGCCGTATGGGGCCGCTCCAGCTGTGACATGGCTTGCCCTAAACCCCCAGAGCTGATCCCAAAAGCCGCCCCAAGTTATATTCTACCGGAGGCCTCAGGGACGGAGCTGTTGTTCAAGACTTAAGCCAGGACGTGCAAGTGACAGTCAGAGCCATCCAGCTTCTCAAACCTTCCGAGCGGTACACACACCAGATCAGAAATGCAATTCAATGCTTGTATGCAGCTCCAACAGACTGCCTTGCTGGAAATCGGTGCTGTTTCCCTCCCTGAGAAGGGTTAAAAAGCAAAATGCAGCTCGTTTTGGGTCCCTCCCACCATTTTTAGATCAGAAATGCAGAGGTGGTATCTTTTCCCTTAAGCAGCAAAACAAATTAACCAGTGCACGTCCACTTTAGAAGTAGAAGAAAATAAAAAATCAGCTTGGAGCTGACAGGAAGCATGGAAAATTTGAGGATAAAAGAATATCTGTGAATGCTGCAAGACTCAAAGAAAGAGGGAGGTGGAGAGCTCAAAATCAATCTCAAATACTGCATTCAGTACACAGAGATGTTATAATATAAAATAAGCTGTCTGCAGGTGGGTTTTTTTTAGTTACAGAAGTAAACTTCACTCTTGTGAAACAGAAATGCCCAAGCTCGATTTTACAGGGGCTGCATTGTCCTAAAATCAGGCGCAAAATCAGTTGAAGCTCCAAAGCAAATAACACTCTAAACAGACCACAGTTTTTTTTAAAAAAAAAGAAAAATACTGGAGCACCAAAAAAGCCTTTTTCAGGTTTAACTCAATAACCATCCCAAAGCAATACGGGCAGTTTTAGCAGAAGAACACTGCACCATCCCGTTGTGAATCAGCTCCAGAAGGAGCCCAGTCCCTGAGGGTGCATTTCAGCAGCCTGCAGGCTGCCCTGGATTAACCGCGGCCGCTGCAGCGAGCACCAATTTGTAGCAAGGGTGAGAGGCTGCAAGAAGCCCCAGCCCTAAATGTCACCACCAGGGAGATGGTGGCACCAGAGCTACCTGGTGAGAGCTCCCTGCTTTGGATTTGGCAGCAACTCCTACGCAACGATGTTTAATTAAAGCTCTTCTTAAGTCCTGTTTAATTTAACCTCGTGGATGTGGTACCGGGTTCTAGAAATCACCCCAGTCTTTACTGATTTCACTGCCTACTCGATCAGACGGCTGGAAAACCTCCTTGTAGCTCCAGCAGCTGCCATCAGCTGTGTGCAGTCATGAGCAAGATGGGCTGGCAAAGACGGAGACCTTCAAAATTACACCGTACGGGAGAGCGCCAGCGCACGCTTCACCTGCCACCAGCACATGTTGCGGGGTCCTGACGGGCACCCGTGTGCCTGGAGTCGCTCCAGGTTTTGGGTAATGAATGAGAACAACATGTGGCTCTACACGCTCCCGCCAGGGCAAACCTCACATTGGTAAGACAGCGGGATCTGAACACGCGCGGCATGAGAGAACCGGGTCCTGGATATCTAGCAGGGTCCAGCTTCTATGCACACATTGCAGGATTTGTAGGCCAACAGAAGTTCTAAAAATCCATAAAATTAGCCATAAAAACGCCTAGAAGGAAAACATCGAGCTCTGCCCCAGCACTGGGTGCTAATTCAGGTCTGTAACCCAAGCTCTAATTTCCCCTAAATTTGTAGGGACTGAAAACCCTCAGTTAAACCGGGCTGAGACCGGTTTATGTAATTGCAGAGAGGGGGAAGATTCCCAGCAGAGGGGCTGCATAATCTCCTATGACTTCTTTCCCTAAGAAACCGAGCTGAAATCCATAATTCAAACTGAACTAAAATCCATAATTCAAACTCCATGTGCACATAAACATTTCCAACCATGCATATGCATGGGCCAAAGCAGTACTTGTTAAGACCTCAAAAGCTGTAGAACCATAGCTGGAGTGCAGAAAATACCCACTTGCCCTACTGCTCCGTATCATGGAGATACCTGCAAACCACTAAAATTAAATACACGAAAGGAATTAGGAAAATAAGTTGGCTTGCAAGTTGTCACTGCTCCCTCATGTACTGTAATTAAGTTCCTTACCATTTTCTTTCACCCCATTAATCAGGATAGTTTCTTGGTCTTCTGAGGCACAATCCTGCTCTTGTTGGTCATCCATCAATTTAACCTCTTTCTGTTCATTCCATGCCCCACTGCATCTGGCCAACCTGCACATTTCCAGAAACATAACCACAGTCAGTACAATTCCCAAAATCAGCTCAAGGAACCATGAATAAAAAATAACAACAATAAAAAAAGCCCCACAACATTACATGCTGCCCTCACCCTGCTTAAGAGGACAAATGCTATTTATTTAGGCTATCATATTTTCACTTTTCCACTCCAAAAGCCAAGTCCAATGTATTTCAGCAGGGTTAAAATGATATATATCCCCATTTCCTTCCCTCAAGTCCTCCTTTAGGAGGTGGAGCAGCGCTCCGCACTTCTGCAGTGCCTTTCCCATCACCTGAAATTGCTTTCCGAAAGCAGGTAGGCATTATTCTCTCCATTTGGCAGACGGGTTAGCAGGCACACAGAGAAGAGGGAGCTTGCCCCAGGTTAGACGACAGCAGCTCAACAACAGGGTTGGAAGAAAATCCCAGATATCCCACGCGACAACCGCTTGCCCCGGCTGCCAGCGAAGGCTCTCCTCCTCCAAGCGCTGCCAGGCACGAAAAATCTCGTCTAAGGAGATTTTGGGGAAGAAGTATCTAGCCTCAGTTTTTCATTGGAAATCCCTTCTTACTCCTTCCTCGGGGAGCTGCCCTCATTCCCATGCCACCTGCCTGCCAGTGCATCAGCATGGACATGGAGCAGTGGGCAGCACAGAACAACCCGAGGGGATGCTCCCGATGAGCAGAACCGTGCCTCTTTGACCAGAAATTAAAGACTGAGTCCTAACGTCTGGCAACTCGAGCTCAACTTTTTTTTCTCTCTCAGAACAGGTACGAGACCAAAGCATCGTTTTTTGTTTTTAAACCAACATTCGTCGATGCCTGATTATCCTGCAGTGCTCCCTGCCCCGGGTTCAGCAGCCAAACGTCACTCATATTCGGATTTGCAGTGGAGTCCTCTTAATTAATGTGAAATCTTTACAACCTGCCTCAGTAAGTGAAACCTTCGCCAAACTTAAAGATGTTGTGACACCGAGAGAAAGAGAAGAATAACAAGGATCAGTAACCCAACTCCTCTGCATATTTAGAGGAATATTTAACTAACCCGGAGAGTTTGACTTTGATGCAAATCCGTATTTCAAAGCTCAGGACGGGTCGGTCTGCTCCTCTAAGCCTCCTCTCCCTGCTGCCCCGGGCTCCCTCCGTGGTCAACAGAAGCTCGCTGGAGCCAGCACCGAGCACAGTTGGCTCTGTGCGTTCACAGATCTGAACCTGCTGCTCACTGGGCTCACTTCGGAGCACTCCAAGAGCATTCGTGGCTGATCAGACCGGCATCTCCCCAACACAGACGTTTATAACCAGCACTCCCTGCATGCTGATCCCCACCATCCTTCTGCAGTGTGAAGGTGATGCTCCAGGAGAGGCTTAGCAAGCAGGGGCACCTCCTCCTCCCATGACGAGCAGGACGTCAGGGCCAGCAGGCATCGTCTTGGTGCTGCAAACCTCTACGGGACCCCCTGCCATGGGGACAGCCACACCAGGGCACGCCGAACACCTCGAGGTGCAGGCTCCAGCCCTCTGATGGCCACCGGCCGATGCCAAGTCAACGGGGAGCCACCGTGCCGGACACCTTGCTTGTGAAGCTCTGCAGCTAAGGGACTTGTGGGTTCAGAGGCTGTACCCGTGCTTTATTCTGCTGATTTCTCTAATGATGTCCTCCTACCTTGCTGACACCGCTGGCCTCCAGGGAACCTCGTGGTAATGCAGGTGGCAGCTTCGTGCTACGTCCAGGGGACCTGGTTTCAATCTGCTGTCCTCCAAAGCATGGGCAGTGGTTTCTCGTTTTACAGCACCAGCAAAAACACGGCCTCAGTCCTAGACAGGACTTGGAGTATGGCCATCGCAGGAGCATTTAACAGTAATTGTTATATTCATAAGGAGAATCACTGGTAATATTTCAAGTTATCCAAGTGCAGAAACCAAATCAGGATACTACAGAACATTTTGCACTTTAACCTATAGGACCCAGGTTGAAGGACAAGATGTGACCTAGTGCTGCTGTACAAGGCTCAGTGCTGCAAGTCAAGTCTTTGGTCTACCAGCAGAACAAACCCAAACCCGTGGTCATGTCCTCCACCTCCCCACATGGCTCAAAAGCGCCAGCACCACCTCTGCGCTGGTTTGCTGGCCTGACTTCTGCTGACCAACCTGCTCTGAGCAGGTTGGTGCAAAATGACACTGCCGGCCTGTTTTCAACGGGTAACATCGTCATAGCCGTATTAAAATAATGGCTTGCACTGAATAAAACATAACACAGAGGCAGGAACAGTAATTCTCCAGTAGTGTGGATGTGTCACTTGCAAAACACAAAGCATCTCCAGAGAGAAAATCGGAACGGGGACATGAAACACCAGAGCTTACAAAGAGAGATCCTGAGCACTGTCAGGAAGGCACCAACCATCCCATTGCCCCCAGGACTGTCTGCCCCTCGTTCCTGCTCCCAGGGACGTAATGGGCAGACCCCGAGGAGGCAGCAGGGCTCATCTGGGCAGACGCCAAGTGAGGGGCAAGCAGGCAGTCAGGCAGTCGGAGGCAGAAAATAGGAGTCTATGGGGCTGGAAACCTGGGCGATTTTTAATCTCTTATTATTATTTGGGGGGATGTGTGTGCATAAAGGGGAGGGAGGCACGGGAGGGAAGTGTCTGGTGGCTGTGATCCAAAGACAGGAGAAGACAAAGAGGAGGCCGAAATGCAAGAACTGAGGGGCTGTGCCTGTAGCCTTGGCTGCAGTACCTCGGAGTGCGGAGCCGAGCTCCAGAAACGAGCTGGAAAGAACTGAAAGGAGTTCAGATGGGGGATCTTCAGACACGGCTGAAGAGAGATGAAGTGCAAATGAACCAGACAATTTTGAAGTTTGCAGAGACCTGTTGAACAAGAGGACCTTTCCAGAGCGCCGTGACCACGAAAGGTCAGCTCCCAAGGCGGACAGGGAGAAACACCAGCTACCGTGAAAGAAAAGCTGACAAAGGGGCTTGACGCAATGCAGAACAAGAGGAAACCGAAGACTGGGAATAACAAAGAGGAGAAGAACAGCTGGGTCCCTGGGAAGAAAAACTAAACCGACGGAGACCTGGGGTATAAAGGCAATAGGCAGAGAATACGCCGGGTAGCAGGAGCGCACAGAACAGAGCCATGTGCAGACAGCACAACAAAGGGGAGAGGATTCGGGCTGCAGACAAGGTCCAGCCATTGAAGATACACATGGCTGAGGTCACGCTATTGTGAAGAACCAGCAGGAGGAAATTCAGTCACCAGCTTGAAGTCTATGAACTTTACTAGAGCCGGAGTGCATGGAGGAAGAGGATGGTCAAAGCCACGGAGTCAGACGGGCTCCAGGTGTCCGGAGGAGGAGGAGGGCAGGAGCACAGCTTGGCAGGCTGGGCTACAAGGACAGCCACAGGAGGTTCGGCTGCCGGGATGAATTTGGCAGGACAGGCTTGTCTCCACTGTGCCGCGTATTTTAGGGCTTTGGTCTGCTAAGATCACGGCTGGCATAACTGAAACAGATACTGGCTATGAGAGGAGATGGAAGGGATGAAGTTGCAGAAAGCAAGCAGTGGAGATGGAAAATAACGCGACTGGTTTAAAGCAAGAGATGGACAAATTAATGGGCAGAAGGACAAGAAAAAATTTGCCTACATTGTAGGTGTGGAGCACTGTCTCCAAAGACAGATGTGGCCAGAGAACGAAAGCTGATGGATGCCCAGGCTAAGGCCCCATGAGCTCTCTCTACTCCCAGTGAGCAAGACCCTGTGCACACTTGGTGGGACACCTCTTTGTCAGTTCTTTGGAGTAAAAACCCAATATTCCTTGTCCTTATTTCTCTTCCTATAAATTCAACACGTACACAAAGCAAGAGCAATGTAATCAATGCTCCCAGCTGGAAATGAAGTGGGGGGGTGCCGGTTATTTGCCTACAGCAAAGGAAGAAATGCCCGAATTAGAGAACTAAAACATCTGGACATGCTTCTGCGCTTGAGTCGAGGAAATGATGGGCTTTATGTTCACTTAGAACTGACACTCCTTTGTACATCTAGGATTTTAGCACTTTCCTCAAGGTGAAAGGGGAAGCACTGCTGGTTTACACAACCGCGAGGGAAACATGCCTCTGCTCGAAGGGCGCACTCTACAAAGACAGCGACAAGCTGCTTTGCTTCTTTCTCAACCCGACAATGTCCTTCTCCCCCAGCAGGGCAAGGTCCCAGGTGGACATCTTATAGGTAAGGGTCCATCCCTCGTTGCTATCAGCAGTGCCGCGGGGAGAGGACGCGCTCTGGTCTCAGCTGCCAGCCCAGGGAACAAATCCTCCAAGGCTGGCCTCTGCCAGCTCTCCCCGGGAGGCAGCGGTGGTTCAGCTCCTGGCATCTTGCAGAGAAAGCGGCCACAGTCTCAGCAGCATCCTGGAAGCACTCAGAGGGGACCATGGGCACCAGCATGCCACACCTGCCGCATAATCCAGGGCTTGGCCACGTGTCCTCGGCACCAGCACTATCCTGCTGAAGCTTAATACACTCCCAAGCAGAGGAAAAAAAATAAATAAATCCACCAGGTAAAAATAAACAGCCTGCCAGACTGACTGCAAGCCCACCTACACATATGGGAATTGTATTAGATGGACTAGATTAGGGGTTAGTGATAGCTGTTCCATAATTAAAGTTGCAGGAGTGTTTCAGCTCGGAGCTGAATAAACAAAAGGTTGCAAGCACCCAGACAAAACCCAACGTGGCAATTCCTATTTACACACACCTTCTACATACCAAGCACTTTTATTTGTTGTAGATCACGGGGGTAGATGGAGAGGGAGTATCCACAGCGAAGGAAAATCTTTTTCTGGAGAAGAGGGGGAAGAAGCAAAGCAGAAGATGTGGCTTTTTTCTGCAGAGTTGTGAATAAGCGCAGGTGTTGGAAGGAGCGCTATATATGCGGTTACATCTTTCAACAAAAAAAAAAAGAGCTTTAGAGAAATTAATTACATGTCAGAGCCTCTGACAGGT